ATACTAGCATATACTAGGTTAAGCGCGCGTCATTCGGAATAGTGGGGAGTATTCAACCCAAAAAGACTGGCTGCAATCCTAAACATAGTCATATGCTATTGACAATGACATTGTTCCATTCTTACGATTTGAGCACCATGAAGAAGCATTTCGAGCCTCGTTGCAAACAACTTCGAACCAACTGGAGCATTCCGAGTGCTTGATTGAATGGGTATAACAGAGAAGAGCGTATACTTACCCGAGGCTAGGTAGCGACCCAGTGACGCGCTCCACCGTGACGTATCCGCCACGGGACCACCTCGATCACGACCAGAGAATTACCCCAGAATATTCGAAACGACCGAGTCCGTATCAACACGACGCGCTTATCGTTGCATGCAGGACAATTCTATGTAACACGACCGCGCATATCTGGGTTGTGATATGCGGCGTGTTTCAATAGCGGATGCCCTGAGGCATCTCTATCAAGTACACTCACATCACGCGGCGCGTGATTTGGGTGTCCTTGATAGAGGTGCCTCGCGCTTATACGGCGTGAGCTGACCCCGGCTGAGACCCGGCTGTATCCACCGGTGGTACTATATAACAGCGCTGCTGCATGACCAGGCATCAGTCGATCTGACCGCTCCATTCAGCGATCATGAAGCTTCTCGTTGTAGCCGCTCTGGCCGTTCTGGCCGCCGCGGACAGGCGGAGCTCTGGCGCCTAGTCCCAGTACGGTGCTCCCTCTAGCGCCCAGTCCCAGCACGGTTCCCAGTCTGGTGCCCAGTCCCAATACGGTGCCCAGTCTGGTGCCCAGTCTCAGTACGGTTCTCAGTCTGGTGCCAGGTCCCAACACGGATCGTCATCATCCTCATCAGGATATGGTCTCAAGTCGCGCAGAGAACCGTTCCAGTCAACTTTGGAGCAAGCGGATTATTCTCATTCCAACGGAGGATACGCTCAGCAGTCTAGCGGAGGTTACAGCCAGCAGTCTAACGGAGGCTACAGCCAGCAGTCCAACGGAGGCTACGGACAGACCAAGCCTCCTTTGCCGTACTCGTTCAGCTACGACGTGCTGGATGTCCGTGGTAATGACTTTGGCGCGGCCGAGGAGTCCAACGGTGAGGAGGTGCAGGGCCAGTACAGCGTCGTGCTGCCCGACGGCCGGCTCCAGACCGTCTCCTACTCGGTTGAGGGCGACTCTGGCTTTGTGGCCGACGTCGAGTACGAGGGTGAGGCCAAGTTCTTCAACGCCTACGGCGAGGAGGAGGGTCGCAGCAACGTCAAGAGGGGACGTGGCCCGACCGGAGGTCAGGGTTACGGCTCCAGCCGCGGCCAGAAATACGGCAATTAGAGAAAGCTTTGAGAAAAGTTCATCTGCTGCTATATATTTGCTGTACCACGTTATGTGTACTGGGGGATGGGGTAGGATGCAGGTTTGGAACAAGACTGATGGTGAATAAAGATGCATGATCCAGATGTTCCGCCACTTATCTTCGACTATGTGGTTTCTGCCATGGGAATCCCTCGAATTGGGATTGGCCATACATGTGTTTATGAACCGAAGTAAGCCTGCACATGTGAGAGCGTAGTAGAGAAGATCTCTCGTAGCTTTTACGCTGGGATCTTTTATTGAAAAGACACGAAACGCAGCATTCGAGACCGGTTTGATGAAGCACGTTAACTTTTGCACGACATATACACTTGTTTACATAATTTGGTTTTTGATGATTAATTTGCAGGTTACATTCCTCCATCAGTGCATATAAAATTTTTCAGAACACACATGATGAAATGACACTCATTTCCCAAGCTCTGATCCTACAAATTACAAGCAATCATAGGTGATCAGGTGCATTGGCTTTGCACAGATGAGAGCCTCATGATTCTTCAGGATTAATATTTTTGTTTGACTTGGGTCTGACCTGCGCCCGGCCGGTGGTCTGACACAACCGCGCCCGGCCGGGGGGGGGGGGGGACTTAGCAAACTGGGATTGCTAGCTTCCAGGCGTCGTTCGAGAAAAATCAAGAGGTCACGAGACGTCAGGAAAGAAAAAACGTTGTTCTGGCAGATGCCGTTAAAACACATGTAAATGCGTCAAAACGGATATTGAGGACCCAGAAGTAAGCGTTCGGAACCCGTTGCCTAAGCGTTGGAACTTTTGTGGTGCCCCCTGGAAGCAGGCGTCTCTGGAAAATACAGATTATGACTTCCAAGAAGTTAAAGGAATTGGTGCTACATTGCCGCACGCCCGATGCGTAGAATTTGGTGTCTCCCGAAATTGAAAATTTGGGACCTTCGCAGTGACCCTGGAATTTGGTGCCCTGCGGAAAAAAGTTGGGTGGTTTCGAACAGTTTTGGTATCCCTTCACCATGACGTTTTCGTACCACGAATGGTTACCATAACCTCATGAAAAGTCTACGGGGTGAGTGGTATGGCCCATGCTCTTTCCCAGCGAGGCCATCAAATTTAGATAGGCCTGGAGCACTGCCATCATGCGGTTCAATGACGTCTCTTCTTCAGTCTCAGTGGCTGGTGCCTCGGGGAGGAGCCCAACAGACACTTAAAATCACTGCCTTCCTGCAGTCTCCTAGGGCGACCTCGGAGCGACACCGTTAGTGGGTACGTGCGGTGTCCACAATGACAAGCAGGTGCTGTGGCCAAATAGTGACTGGTTCTTCTTCAGGAAATGACCCATCTTTGAGTCAAAACCGGATGCCAAATAGGTATGTTAGCTTTTCGGAGCCTATGAAACATTTATGAAAATATATCACTAAACACAAACGTCCACCTGCTGTCTCGTGCTCGTCCTCAAGAGATAAGTTGTTCAAGATGCGTGTCAAAATACTCGTCGTTGAACACTACCGTGCCGTTTAACCAGTACAGCCTGATATACAGAAGGTGGTTAACTCAACCTAATAGTTGTATGCTTATAATACCAAAAAGCCATCAGCTAAAGAATTTCTTTCTTACATGAAGTCAAAAATATGACCACAGCGGCCCAAATGCACAAAATTCGTGAAGATATGTGCCTTGTAACTAGGATAAACAAGGTTCATGGACTTGCTCATCCCCTCCCCCCCCCCCCTAAATAAAAACGCAAAGCTCACCTGCTGCTATCACATAGTGACTGCAGCTTGGTTCAGGTCACATCCAAGTAATCCTGGATAATTTAGGTGCCCGCCAATAGCGTAGCCTCTCCGATAAAATGTGAAAATTCAGGATCGGTAGGCACGGACTTGAACATACTAGCGGTAAAGAGTACCACGGCAGGTCATCAAAGGGGTTTCTTCAACAGTGCAGGGTGTTCTTCGCAAGCGAGGAGAACGTTCAGAGAGAGAGAGAGAGAGAGAGAGAGAGAGAGAGAGGAGAGAGAGAGAGAGAGAGAGAGAGAGAGAGAGAGAGAGAGAGAGATAGAGAGAGAGAGAGAGAGAGAGAGAGAGAGAGAGAGAGAGAGAGAGGGAGAGAGGGGGAGAGAGAGAGAGGGAGAGAGAGAGAGAAGAGAGAGAAGAGAGAGAGAGAGGAGAGAGAGAGAGAGAGAGAGAGAGAGAGAGAGAGTTTGTATTCACGTGCTCTTGGTCCAACTTTGGTGACAAATTGACATGGCGTCTCATGATCCAGTACGTTTCGAACTACGAGGTGGGTTTTGAGAATTGATATGGGTGGTTACGTAAGCTTGCATCACGCGCTTACGCAATCGTTGTGCCATCATGCCATGGCAAAAGCCAATTAGGAATAAGGTAGCGTCGTTTCTTTCCAGATAGTTGTTGTTTTGTAGCTGGTAATTCGATAACATGAACATGTACCAAGTTTTCAGCTGTTTAATTTCGAGCTGAACGTCAATTTTCTTAAGATAGCCTTTGCACTTTTACTGTCTGCTGTTTAAAACCCACGTTTTGACCAATTCCATCCCAACCCGTATAATAAACAGATATGCTAATGCAGTCCACAAACAACGCAGTGAATTGGCTCTGGCTGTAAGATCCGCCGGATCGATCCAGCCCGCGTCGTAACCCATGGTGGGCTACAACAAATGGGATGGGTGGTTACATAGGCCTGTGCCATACGCTTATGTCATTTTTTTTCATTCACCGCGTACATTAGTGCATGTATGCAACATGATCTTCTTTGGCACGTTCTGAGTGTCATGTGTAGATCGTAATGCGCTTGAATTTTGACCCTCGCGTGCAAACAAGCGTCCGTACTTTATCAACGCTTGCAATCACTGGTGGTGACATGAGCCGTAAATTTCTCTTGAAGGCAGATGCATTCAGGATCAGGATGCAGGATCAGGATGCATTATCAATCCTTGCAATCATTGGAAGTCACATGGCTCTTAAGTCCCCTTGAAGGCATATGGATTCATGGTGGTTGATCTGGGGCAAAGGTAAACCACACATCTATCCGTTGGTGGATTGAGGCCACACTTAGTATAGACGTACAGCCGTTATCGCCAGCAGGCGCCGGCAACACTGAGGTGGCTGCATTTTCACATTGTGAAACAACACGCTGCCGATATGAACGTGATCGGTATGCATGAAGTACAATCAAGAAGGACCTGGGCGTCGCTAAATCTCAGGCGGGCGTGATGTAACAGATAATATCAAATAGGAGCGCGTGGTCAACCAGGCCGCATAAAAGCACGGCGACTCTGCTGAACGGTACAGTTGTCATCAGCAGGTCAGTCAGCTAAGATGAAGCTCCTCGTTGTAGCCGCTCTGGCCGTTCTGGTCGCCGCGGACAGGCGGAACTCTGGCGCCCAGTCCCAGTACGGTGCTCCCTCTGGCGCCCAGTCCCAGTACGGTGCTCCCTCTGGCGCCCAGTCCCAGTACGGTGCTCCCTCTGGCGCCCAGTCCCAGTACGGTGCTCCCTCTGGCGCCCAGTCCCAGTATGGATCGTCGTCTTCATCGTCTGGCTATGGCCTGCAGACACGCAGGAAACCATTCCAGCCGAGTCTGCAGCCTGCTTACGGCCAGCAATCCAACGGAGGTTATGGCCAGCAATCCAGCGGAGGTTATGGCCATGCAATCTAGCGGAGGCTACAGCCAGCAGTCCAACGGAGGCTACGGAGAGACCGGACCTCCTACGCCCTACTCGTTCAGCTACGACGTGCTGGATGTCCGTGGTAACGACTTTGGCGCGGCCGAGGAGTCCAACGGTGAGGAGGTGCAGGGCCAGTACAGCGTCGTGCTGCCCGACGGCCGGCTCCAGACCGTCTCCTACTCGGTTGAGGGAGACTCTGGCTTTGTGGCCGACGTCGAGTACGAGGGCGAGGCCAAGTTCCTCAACGCCTACGGCGAGGAGGAGGGTCGCAGCAACGTCAAGAGGGGACGTGGCCCGACCGGAGGTCAGGGTTACGGCTCCAGCCGCGGCCAGAAATACGGCAATTAGAGAAACTTCTAGAAAAGGCCGTCTGCTGCTATATGTTTGCTGTACCACGTTATGTGTACTGGGGATGGGGTGGGGTGCAGGTTTGAAACGAGATTGATGATAAATAAAGATGCATGATCCAGGTGTTCCGCCATTTATCTCCGACTAAGCGCTTTTTTCCATGGGAATCCCTTGAATTGGGATTTGCCATACATGCGTTAATGAGCTGAAGTAAATATGCACATGTGAGAGCGTACTAGAGAAGATCTCTCGTAACCCTTACGATAGGTTCTTTTGTTGAAAAGGCACGGAACGGAGCATTCGGAACCAGTTCGGTGATACACGTTTGCTTCGTTCATGTATATGCACCTGATTACATAGTTTGGTATTTGGTGGTTATTTTGCAGGTAATGGTGATCTATTGGCATCACGTATCTAGTATCAGAACACATGCGATGAAATGACATGGAATTACCACACCTTGATCCAACAAATTACAAGAAATCATAGGTGATCAAATGCACTGGCTTTGTACTGACGAAAGCCTCATGATTGTTTATGAAGACCTTCTATTCCACATGAGGATCATTTGACAGTGGTTTCCTCGTGATTGTGTGCTAAAATCGAAATAATCGCGTGGGATGAAATTTTTTACTTGTTCTTCGATCATTGTTCTTTAAATAACATGCATCAATAACAGATAACTGAGAAGGGATAGCAATTTTTTTAATTATAGCCACCTTCATGGACGCAGAAACTTCCCTGATGCCGCGCGTGGTGCAGTAATTGGCACATAGACCACAGTTCGGCTTAAGAATCCCATGCTGCAATTGTGTTGGAGGGCCCATCTGTCGGTACTGGGGGTCCTGACCGGCACCGGGCCGTTCATTGCCTCAAGGTGGGTAATCATCATAAGCTATCATGCGTCCTTTCATTCTCAGGGAAGCCCGACCGAAGCAAGGGGTCCTCTGTCATTCGAGGCCCGTCCCCGTCCCTGTTGAGCAAATTTTTCCCCTGACCTACTCGAAACCCCTTGCTGACACCGGGACATCCTGTTAGGCACTGCAGGTTCCTGAACGAAACAAGAGCTCCACTTTGCTGCAGGGGCCCGACCAATGCAAATCGCGGGCCTGGCCTTATCTCTGTCTGAGAAATGGTCCGCCAGAGCTCAGACCGACACGGGACCAAGTGATGTACGGCGAAAATGGAGGAACGCTCTGTCTCAGGAGTCCCAAATCGGTACAAGATACGCTCTATGCGATCTAACTGAGATCACGGTCCCACGGGCGGGGTCCTTAATATGACCTACAGTCAGCCCTCTGACCCTTCAGCATTCCGATTGCCCCTTGATCTTCGGTCTCATGAGAACCCTCGGCCCTCTTTGGGCCCCGCAAATACCGCTCCTGGCCGAATCGGAGTCACTTGCCGCCACAGGATCCATGTTAGACGCTGTGACGCCTGATGGACACAGGGGCCCCTCATTGTGTCAGGGATCCCGGACATTGCTAATCGCGGGCCCCGGCCTCCACACTGCTTGGGTCGCAAAGGCTCACACGGATATGGAGCCGGCTGGTTGGCCCCGTGGCCTAGGTTCAAGACTGGGGTCCTGGGTTCCGGGGTCCTCAGATGGTGCAAGAGTCAATGAATAAATCAAAAAGACATTCCGGTACTTCGGTCAAATTCCAGCAGCACATAATTAGCAAACTGCTCTGCCGAAAATCATTGCCGAAATGTAAAAATGAATTCATCGTCTTCCATCTCGGATATGATAACGATGACTACGCGGGCAACTTAGTGATACAAATTATGTAACTGAGTGTTGAGCATGCGCGCTTGCAAATCAGCAACGAAATGCTCCATGTCAGGCGTCGCAGTCTCCTGAACTCGCGGCGTCAGCCCCGCGGCTAACATAAAGCTGTGGCCAACGAGTGGATGAAAATGATGACGCATTTCCAAGAAGTACCGTTTAACGCTTCAGCACATCCAATCGTACATTTAGAAGGTAGTCTAACCGTATGTTTCACTTATGCGATTTTTAGATGGATGGTAATCACGGATAAGCCTTTACAGCGCCGCGAAATAGTGCTGGAACCTGGCGTTGGAACTGGAAGCGTAAAGGTAGAACCTCTGTTTTTGTGTTGCTGTGGCTGTTTATCTAGCTCTACTCTCAAGATAGATACATTGAGTCGCGAAAACAATGTAGGATGTTATTATGAGCTTCGCCCAAGCATTTTTGATTTTCTACATCCTTGCTGAGCAACGCCAATGCTCAAATTTTGCTGAATTCTTTCGTCCTTTTTTCATTTCCCTATGCTTACAGCGACCACTGCTCCAGACAACAACATCCAGGCGAGCATAACACATGCATAACAGTGCTCTGTGTGGAAGCTCTATTCTCCATTGACTCAAAATTACAGACTGTCGGAAAACGGCGCCGGATGTCACACAAGGAACCAAGTACTACTTTGGAGACGGCATGCAATGGTTCAGTTCAGGGCTGGTCCTCTGAGCGAACGAGCCCTGCGCTGCCAGCCGCGATTGCCTTCGATTTGCAAAATATAATGCCCAGAGGACAGTATCGCGCCAAATCACAAAAGCGCGCGCCGCGTGAGTGGTCAGCCCTCGGCCCTCCCTGTTAAGCAAGGCACCGCAGTAACGCCGAAAGCCCAGTGTTAACGGGGATCGCGCCCATACCGGCCTAGATTCGGTGGCCCGAGGCTTAGTAGCGACCCAGTGACGCCCTCCACTGTGACGTGACCGCCACCGGGACCACCCCCGATCACGACCAGAGGATTACCCCAGAATATTCGAAACGACCCAGTCTGTATCAACACGCCGTGCTATCCGTTTCATGCAGGGCAATTCTATGCGACACGACCGGGTATATCTGGGTGGCGACATGCAGCGTGTTTTAATAACCGTTGCCCGCAGTACGCCGCGCGTGATTCGGGTGTCCTTGATCGAGGTGTCTCGACGTAGAAGCAGCGTGCAAGAGAAGCATATCTTGTAATGAGTATTATGCATAATGCGCAATGGGCAATAGGTACGCATTTCGTACACAATTGCCTCGGTATTTTCATATTGCTTTAGCATTTACAACACCGCGGACTCACGACGCGATGGTGTAATCTCGATTGCTCATGATGCTGTAATCGTTAATTCCATTCAGCAAATTTATCTTCAAATCGCACGGGTGTATTTTGCTGGTCAGGAGCTGAACGGCCTTTCGTCCCAGCCCAGGGTGCCTAGCAACTGCTCTTCTTGCGATATGGGAGCCGGGATGTTCTGGTCGATCTGGAGACCCTTAGAAGGATACATCATGCGCCGGTCCTACCCCTGATGCGGCAGGCGACACCTAGCACGGGATCGACGCAGGAACACGTCACTGACGCAAAAGGATCCCCTACTGGCACGTAGGATCGGCGGGCAATTTTGAATTTACTACTGATATTCGTTTTGATAAAGGCGAATGGCTGAAATATCAATCCATCCGCCTTTCTATTTTTGTGATTTTTTACGAGAAGTAAAGTAATAAGTACTGTTTTATCTAAAGGCTAATGATACTCCGCAATAAAGGTTTCGTGGTGCCCCTTTCGCGAAAGGGGCCGATCCTAGTTTGGTCCGGATGGAAAGCAAGGAAAGCATGGTGGAGAAATCTTCAAATGAAGGGCCCTCTCAACGGCCTACTTGCACTTGTTGGCTACAGTGAACAAATATTTTGATGCTGAGAAATGAAGGTTATGGTGTCCCTCTGCCGACTGGGCCGATCCTTGATTTCGTCAATCGCGCGCCATTGTGATTGTAATTTCTCTGAAATTTGCCGTCCATTAGATACAAAGGTTTTGAGCCCTTTGAGGTGCCCCCTGGAAGTAGGCGTCTCTGGAAAATACAGAAATCAGACTCCCAAAAAATGATAGAAATCGGTGCCACTTTGCCGAACGTCCGAACCGTGGAATTCGGTGTCTCCCGAAACTGAAAATGTGGGGCCCTTTGCGATGACCAATCGCAGCCAGAGATTTGGTAGGCGGGGCACAGGGTTGACAAAGGGCCCCCTGATATGAAAGGCACCCCCAAAAAATGCTGGATATGACCCGCTTGTTATTGAGGACATGTTTTTCTCATATATAATATATATAATATATATATATATATATATATATATATATATATATATATATATATATATATATATATATATATATATGTGTGTGTGTGTGTGTGTGTGTGTGTGTGTGTGTGTGTGTGTGTGTGTGTGTGTGTGTGTGTGTGTGTGTGTGTGTGTGTGTGTGTGTGTGTGTGTACATATATTACACATTTTTAACTCCTATAACTGAAATGTAGGCCAGATGCTACGACGAGATCAATTCTGCCGTAAACGTACAGTAAATAAGCTCACTAAGTCTTGCGTTAAATGACTGCATGAAATAAATCGCTGGCGCTCTTCATTTTACAATGGTCCAGTGGGCTCTTTTTAAACCGATAGAACTCAAAAACTTTGGCAGAATCTTTAACTGGGTTATACAGAAATAGCAAGACTAGATCGAAGATCAAAATGGGTCCACGAGTTGTTTTAGCATGGCCAGGCCATGTTTGTCTGGATATCTTCAACATTCAGTCAGAATTGATAACTCGTACAAATCATGTAACGTAGATTTAAGCATGCGCGCTCGCATCTCTTAGAAACAAAAGCTCAACACCAGGCGTTACTGTCTCCATAGGCCGCGGAGCGTTGGCCCTGCGGCCCACGTTAGGCCGTGGCCAACAGGTGGACGAAGAAAGTGACGTATCTGAAAGAAGTAACGTTGAACGCTTTTGGAGACCAAATGGTAGATTTAGAGATGCTCCGGACTTATAAATTACCTGTGCGGTTTTTAGATTGATGACAAAAAGGTATTGGTCTACAGCACCGCGAAATGGTGCTAGAATCCGCTTGTGGAGCTGGAAGAGTAAAGATAAAATGTATATTTGTGCTGCTGCATCTGCTAATTTCTCCAAAAGGATATCTTCAAAGTTGTAAAAAGATTCCCCCAGTTTAGCCTTTGAACTGCGCGAATTACGTTTGAAGTACATTGAGAAACATCATTTTACTATGGCCACTGTTGCGCGGTCGGCGCCCGTCCCCTGGCGTTACTTGCAGTGACCAACGCCGTTCGGTTTTACGAAAACTGCGACCCAAGTCATTGCTATCCCCGCTCCTCGACATTACGGTCTTGTCATTGGAGCTTCATAACTCAATCAGCTGCCGGGGCAGCATGGCGCCGCTAGCCTCTCACCCTGGTGGGAAGGGCGGGCACCGCGGGGAATCGAACCCCATGCCTGTGGTTTCCCAGCCGCGCTGTGGTTAACGCTGGCGCATGAACCACTACGTTATCGGAATCCGACGCGTAGGCTCAAACATTTTGGTGGTGTTGGTTTCACCAGTAGATTCTATAAAACAGTGAACGTTCTCAGGGAAACGTGGGATGGCTCTGTGCGTTTTGAACTTATTTCGGACCACTCCATGCCAACGCCAATGAGATCACTTATTTCTTTCCGGTACAGGGGTCCCTTGAATAAAACACCACGGGGCACATTATTGTTGCCGGTCGAGGGCTGAGGGGTCATTTTATCGCACCGCAGTGTGTTTTCCAGTCGTCACTCTGGCGACACGGGACGGCATCCCCTGGCTGATCCGAAGGCTCTTAGAGGGATGCATCATATCACATTGGTTCGTTCCCTGACGGGGGAGTCTTGATCCGCACAGCTGACGCCGGGTCGACGCATGAACCGTCATTAACGCAACAACAACCCCGCTCACCGCAGGTGGTTAGATAATTGGCACATAGACTCCAGTTGGGCTTAACGGACCCGTGCTGGAAAAGGGTTGGAGGGCCTACCGTTTGGTATTGCGAGCCCTGACTGGCACAGGAGTATTCCATCACCTTTACGTGAGCACTCATCATAAGTTCTTGTCTCCTTCAATTGTCCAATTGGCCCGACCGACTCAAGAGACCTTCCTCCATTCGGGCTTTCGTCCCGCCCTTGTTGAACGAATCTTCCCCTGACTGATTCGAAGCCCCTTGTTGACGCATAAAGCCCTGTTAGGTACTGTTGGCCCCTGAGCGATACAGGAGCCGGACCGACATAAATCGCGGGCCCGGCCTTGTCCCTGCCTGGGAAATGGGCCCGCAGAGCTCAGACTAACACGGACCTGGATGTTCGCTGTTCGTGATCTCTGGCTGAAATAGAAGAACACTTTCTCTCAAGGGTTCTTATCGGTGCAAGAGATCATTTTACTGACATTTTAGATCATGGCCCTATGGGCAGGGGTCCTTAATGTGACCTAAAACCAGCCCTTTGGACCCTTTAGCCATTCCACCGGGCCCTTGATCTTTGGTCTTGAGAGATCCTTCGGTCCCTCTTCGGGTCCCCTCAAACACCGCTCCGACTCGGGGCCACTTGCCGCCACAGGACCAAGACCTATCTGACATTGTGGCCCTCAACCGACACAGGATTTGTTGGATTGGGATCGGGATCAGGATTTGATCATTGTGTCAGGAACCCCGAACATTGCAAATTGTGGACCCCGGTCTCGTTTCTGCTTGGGAAATGAGTCTCAAGGGCTCAGACGGACATGGAGCCGACTGTTCGGTGTTCGTGGTCCCTGACCGACCTAGACGCCTGCGTTGTCTCAGGGGTTGCTAAAACGGTGCAAAAGGATCCCTGGCTGATATTTCAGGTCACGACCCTACGGGCTGCGATTCTTTATGTGACGTACAGTCAGACCTTCGGATCCGTATGTCCTCCAACCGGGCGTTTAATTGTAAGGTCCGGTGGGCCGCCCGGGCCCCTCTTTGGGCCTCATCAAACACTTCTCTTGGTCGAGACTCGGTGCCCTTACGAGCACAGGGCCCTCTGTTAGGCACTGTGGGCCCCTGACAGATACAAGACCTCCGACCAGTGTAAATCACTGGCCCGAGCTTTTTAGTTGGATGGGAAGTAGGTCCTCAGGCCCATACCGACACGGAGTCGCCTATGTTGTACGGTGGTACCTGGCCGACATATAGGCCTATATCGACTCAGAGGGTCCCCGATCGGTGCAAAGGGCCCTCTGACTGTCATTTGAGGGTCCGTCTTCGCGGGTCTGGGTCCCTAAATAAGACTCCGACCAGCTCTTTATGCCCTTTGACCCTCCAGTCGGACCCTTGATTTTCGGACCGGGTGGACCCTCTAGGCCCTTCGGGCCTCCTCGAATACTGCCTCTGGGCGTCTCGGGGCCCCTTGATAACACAGGGCCCCTGTTAGGGGCCGCGGGGCACCGAGCAATGTAAATCGCTGGCTCCGGCTTTGTCTCTGCTTGGGAAATGGGCCCTTAGGCCCATGCCGCCACGAAGCCGACCGTGCGTTACTGGTGGCATCTGACCGAAATATGGGCCCTTATTGACTCAGTGGGCTCCTGATCAGCGCGCAGGGCCTTCTAGCTGGTATTTGAGTGCCTGGCCCTGTGGGCCCGGGCCACTGAATGAGACCCCTGGCTGGCTTTTCGAGCTTTTCGGGCCCTCAAATTTCGTTCTTAACAGTAGGTTCCGAGGGGCCTGCGGGGCCCCTTGGAACCTGAAGGGGGATACGTGCCCTCTGCCCCCCGGTGTGGGCCTGAGGACCTACTTCCCAACCAACTAAAAAGCTCGGGCCAGTGATTTACACTGGTCGGAGGTCTGTGTGTGTGTGTGTGTGTGTGTGTGTGTGTGTGTGTGTGTGTGTGTGTGTGTGTGTGTGTGTGTGTGTGTGTGTGTGTGTGTGTGTGTGTGTGTGTGTGTGTGTGTGTTTGAGGTGAGGTTATCGCATCCTACGATAGCTTTGCATCATTTACATTGTGAAATGAGCATATAAGAATTTAGCTACACTTTTCTAATAGTCCTTGCGCTAGCTTACTTTACATAAAGAAAGTTTGTAAACAATCGAGCAGCAAACAAACGAAATGGTGAATTTGAGAAACTTGCGATATGCATTTATTTATGTGGGCAGTTAAAGGTGAATCAAGCAGAATATTCATGCCGCCCCGTTGTTATTTCTGGGTTTGTTTACGATTTTCCGAAACAACCGATCTCGGCGCAGAGCCCGCGTATTTTGGATTTGATGATGCGGCGTTAGAGAGTGCGGCGCTGGATTCCCGTCGCGGTGGCAGTTCGGGAAATGTAGCATTTTTATAGGTGAAAACTGGAAATTTTGTTTTTTGCCGTACAGTATTTCCTGCCTGGCTGGCCGCTTTATTGAACGGTTTGAGTGTAACTAAGAGTTTACCAGTCACGCTCGTTGATGGGGACGAAGGTCCCTTTGCAATAATTGCTGTTAGCTATGTCATACCCCAAATGGCTGAAACATCGCCATTTCACCTTTTGAATTGTCTATGTATGCATAATATCCATATGTAGGGCATAAGAAAAACAGGATGAGTGAGGAGGTTTTTCTGGGGCACTGGGTTTTACTGCAGACCTAACTACTGTCGTAACCAAAAATACAATGAGATGACATCAAGGGCATTGATCGATGCTCCAGGTGTTCAGAAATAGGTTTGGAGTCAACTTATTGTGCATTGAGTCAGGATGGTAACTAATTCCTTTGAAATTATCTTGTGAGTGATTAAGTGTTAGTTTAATGCAGTTGTGATGAAATAATATGTGCAGAAAGTAGGGAACAGGATCTTTTTGTAGGCTGACTGCGTGTATGTCCACTAAATGGATTTAAGTTGTCTTACTAACAAAGCCTGTCTGGCACAAGGGTAGAGGCAAAATTATCCGTTGAACTGGACGGCACAACTTGGGTGGTGGGTTCAAGGTACATATAACAAGCTATGCTTAGCAGGTACTATGAACCCAGAGTCACCCATACAAACCATTCAGACAAGTTTATTTTAAAAAATCAGATATTTGATGTTTGTATAATGTTGTTACAGATGTCCTGTTATGCCATTAAATGTCATAGAATATGTCTTTAAAACTGCTGCTACCAAAATTGGTTCCGCCATAGGTGAATCTTGAATTGATTACTACCGAGTTCATGCATTGTTGCTTATACTCAAAATCAATTCTTTGCACCTGGAATCAAGCTCAAGTCTGCTTGCATCAGATAGTGAACTTGATCAACACATACTGGAGGGAAAGATTCTAGCATTACTTTGCTGTATCCATTGCCTTTGGCCTGATAGTGGCTTGCTCAGATCATGAGAATGAATCTTTGTTCCCCATTAGTGTCTGCTTTTTGCCAGGGTATACCATGATGTCATAAGTGCGGAGGTGATACCCGACCTTAGGGTGTATGTCGATGTCCACACATTACCATTACCTTCTTGGCACACACAGCACAGCTATTTTTTGTGGACAGTTATGCATTGGCTGGTATCAGGCAAATATGTACAGACTGCTCAAAATGTTAACCCTATGCCTTACACCATGGCTCCAATAAGCCTACTGGTCACAGACATTGAAATCAAATTATCATACTTATTGATTCTCCTATACTCTTGCCCACTAAAATCTGGCTGTTTTAGCATGGTCAGTCTGCCTTTGTGGCTGGTATATTCCACAATAATTTTTGGGTTGAGTGGTTACCCTGTGATGCCCTATTCAAAGTGGATTTCTTAACAGAGTTAAACAACACTTAGCACCTTGGTATTGAAATGGAACCCGGTCAAATGATTCGCTGTCCTGTGCTGCATAAGCATGGGCAAGACACAGAGAAGAAGGACATCATTATACAGGTGGACCAGACTGGTATGATCAACACACCCAACAAGGTGAGCAGCTGCTGCAGTAGCAGCTGCAGTGCTGGATGAGTTGATCATTTGAGATGCCATGTTTTGAGCTCTAAATAGCATGTGTCAGTTGTTGCTGTTGAAAGGGAAGTGAAAGTGGCAGACACATAGGGTTGCCAGCTGACTTCACATACCAAGAGACTGTCATTTGCATTTGTCTAACACTCACACATCAACCCTCACTCACTTCTGCCTCACTCGGCATTGCAGATGTTGAAGGTGTCGCTGACATGCGATGACGACCCGTTCTTCCACTTCCTGCTGACGCTGCGGGAGGACAGCTTCAGCTTGCTGCGCTCGGCGCAGGGCCTGCTGGTCGACTTCGCCCAGTTCCCGCGCAAGTTCACCGAGCTGGTGGAGCAGTGTGTGAGCGCGGCGGCCGGCGCTGAGAGCCCGCGCTTCTGTCTCCATCTGGACACGGCCGGCCACGACCGCGAGGCGCTGCTCGAGGTGGTCGAGGTCAACCCATTCCGGCAGCTGTCGCACATCGCACTGAAGCTGGCCGCCGCCTCGGACGCCGACCTCAGGCAGTACCTGGCCGGGTCCATCAAGGCGCTCAAGGTGCGCGGCTGCCCCCCCCCTCCCCCCTCCCCCACCAAACTTGAATCGCCTAAAACTCTTTTTTGGATGGTATGGCCTGGTCGAAAAGCTGACTGGATGTCGCAGCCAGCAGTGGCGCGAGCTTCGTGGTTGGTTATGTCGTTGGTGCAGGTGGTCCACCTCCCAGCCCTACATGATCCGTCTCTGCTGATCCGATTGACAGCTTCCATGCCATCAATATGTGTCATGGTCTCTCCTCTAGCCGGTCCACGTGGTAGCGCTAACGAGAGGCGGACCTGCTGCTGGGGCGTTTATGACGTAGTCGAGAGGGTTGACCGGTGCCTGCCGCCGCTGGCAGGAGGACCTACAGCGCGAGCGGGCGCGGCAGGCCAGCACCGAGCAGAGCCACACCTCCCAGCTGCGGCACACGCAAGAGCTGCTGGCCCAGCGCAGCTCACAGCTGGAGCAGCTGCGCGCCGAGCTGCAGCAGCTGAACAGCACCAGCAGCTCACAGCTGCAGCAGCAGCTGGCGGCTGAGCGGGACAAGGCGCGGCAGGTAAGCGAGGGGGGGGGTGACTTCACCCCTGGCCTGTTAACGCCGGCGTGCGCTGCACACGTGTACGCGTCACTATCCGTGTTCATCTATCAGACGACTAGCCTTGATCTTGACCCTTGCCACGTGCCGCTGATTTGTCAGGAGATCTGCTTGCAGTGTCTGGGTGTGACGACATGGGGGATATCATAGAACTACTGATTATTTTGTGGTGACGAGTTGCATGAGCGGCTGCTGCATTCAACCTTAGCACGCTCGGCACGTCGTCTTCAGCCCAAGTCTCCACCAATCATGATTCCGTCTTGATAATTGCCTGCCGGTGAAGCCGTGGCCAGCACCATCACCATGCAGTGTACACAGACAGTGAAGCCTCACCGCCTGCGACCGCCGGCGCGGCCGCGGACGGCGGCGGCCGCTGACGCCCGTCCTTCCCCGCGAGCAGGCGCTGTGGGAGCAGCAGCAGAAGCACGAGACGGAGCGTCGGCGGCTGGCGGAGCAGCAGCAGCAGCAGACGGCGCAGCTGGAAGAGCGGGCGGCCGCGCTCGACCGGCAGTGCCGCCAGCTGACCGAGACCAAGTACAAACAGGAGGTGCACTGCAGGTGCGTGGTTCGCGACCGCCGTCTGTTCTGTCCCACAACTTCGCGGCTGGTTCTCCTGAGCTGCGAATGTGAAGGCAGCCATATCCGTGGGTTGTTTCAGTTTGGGACGTACCGCCAAGCAAAAAGGAGGGAATTCGGCCAGCGTAGATTAGACCAAATAGGTACAGTGAGACGAAATAAACCCAACTGCTGCTCAGACTGCTTGAAGACCTTTTCGCCGATCCTGAGTGGGGAGCTACTCACCTGAAGCACCCTCTCGCGTTGGTAGAGAGCTGGAAAGCCAGCTGAGGGCGTTGGAGACTGAACACCGACAGCTGAAACAGGAGGCGGTCGGCCTCCGCAAGCAGAACGCCTCGCTGGACGAGGAGTACCACGGCAAGAGCAAGTCAGGTCAGTGGCGGGCCCGACAGTCAGCGATTTGGATTCCGGGGGGGGGGGGGGGGGGGGCGGCGTCGTAGAGTTGGAAGTAATAGGACACGTGGTTTAGAACCCCATTGAAGTGGCTGATAATCTTCGATTTATTTTGTCCTAATGATGGTTTACGGACCTACGACAGTGCTGTGGAGCAGCAGCTGCCCGGTGTAGTGGCGTCTCTGTGTGGCAGCTGTCGCGACGGTGCTGACCGGGCTCCCACCGTGTGACCATCAGTGCAGCAGCTGCGCACGCGCGTGGCCGTGCTGGAGACGGAGGTGCGCGACAAACACCAGCTGCTGCAGCGGCAGGAGCAGCTGCAGCAGGCGGCCCAGCAGAGCAAGGCGAGTCTGGCCGGGCGTGTGGCCGCGGTTGGCCCTGGATTCAGCAGCTCACTTCAGACAGTTGACGGCGCTCCGATCGTCTCAGACCAGGCTTACACCGCCGGCGTTCTCGTGGAAAGCGTGGGCGTGGCCTCGCTCGGTGTCCTTGCTGTCTGTGTCCCATGTGATCTATCTCCGGTGGCCGAGCCGCGGGCCGCGCTGACCTGAACCTCACCTCACCTCACCTCACCTCACCTCACCTCACCTCACCTCACCTCACCTCACCTCACCTCACCTCACCTCACCTCACCTCACCTCACCTCACCTCACCTCACCTCACCTCACCTCACCTTACCTTACCTTACCTTGCCTTACATTACCTCACCTCACCTCACCTCACCTCACCTCATCTTGTCTGACCTCCCCTTACCTTACCTGACCCCACAGGAGCGGCTGGAGGACCAGGTGGCGGAGCCGCGGGCCACGCCGACCTGAACCTCACCTCGCCTCGCCTCGCCTCACCTCACCTCACCTCACCTCACCTCACCTCACCTCACCTCACCTCACCTCACCTCACCTCGCCTCGCCTCACCTCACCTCACCCCACCTCACCTTACCTTACCTCACCTCACCTCACCCTCACCTAACCTCCTCTCACCTCACCTTATCTGATCTCCCCTTACCCTACCTTACGCCACAGGAGCGGCTGGAGGACCAGGTGGCGGAGCTGCAAGCCACGCTGACCCGTCGTGAGAAGACGGTCAAGACGGTGTCGCAGGACCTGCTCAAGGCAAACGACATCATCCGCAAGCTCCAGGCAGGAGACAAAGGCACACCACGCTAAGGTACGTTGGCCGGCTGCCGTGCTTGGGGGATGCCTGTGACGCATCATCACCCGACTTTCTGTGGTACGGGATTTGTGTTGTGGGGTAGTGTGAATTTCTGCCAGGAGCTACCGACCCATTGCCTTTTTCGGAGAAGCTGCCCATCGAAAGATGTTTACATGATTCTATGTGGATGCTTGAATTGGTATAGTCATATTTTATAAAAGTGTTTCTTGCATGGCTTGTCTGTTAGTTGTGCACGCCATGGGATGAGCCACCACTATGAACCCGTGTGATCCGCCGCCGTGTGACTGCTCCTCATGTGATCCGCCCTCTGCGTGACTGCTCCTCATGTGATCCGCCCTCTGCGTGACTGCTCCTCATGTGATCCGCCGCCGTGTGACTGCTCCTCATGTGGTCCGCCGCCGTGTGACTGCTCCCCATATGATACGCCGCCGTGTGACTGCTCCTCATGTGATCCGCCGGCGTGTGACTGCTCCTCATGTGATCCGCCACCGTGTGACTGCTCCTCATGTGATCCGCCGGCGTGTGACTGCTCCTCATGTGATACGCCACCGTGTGACTGCTCCTCATGTGATCCGCCGGCGTGTGACTGCTCCTCATGTGATCCGCCACCGTGTGATTGCTCCTCATGTGATTCACCTCCATGTGACTGCTCCTCATGTGATCCGCCGCCGTGTGATGACTGCCGCGTGACGCCCTCGCCCACGTGCCGGGCAGCTGAAGCTGCGCAGTCAGATAGCGCTGGAACAGGAGCGGCTGCTGACGGAGGCGGCCGAGGCGCGCCAGACGCTGGAGCAGCGGCAGCGCGAGCTGACGGCGCGCGAGGCGGCCGGCCTCGCCGAGCGCAGCCGGCTCGAGACAGAGCTGGCCGAGCTGCGCGACAAGCTCGAGGCCGCTCAGAAACTGCACAAGACCAACGAGAACGGTGCGTGGTGTGGATGTAGCCATGTGCTACGGACCGCTACTGGGGGATCTCGGGGATCGCTACCGGGGATGTGGGGACCGCTACTGGGGCAAAACACGTGTTTTACTACCAACAGTGTGGGGGACAAAAGGTAATGTTCACAGAATTGGAGACAACACCGTTATGACTTGGAGTTCATGCTGAGGCCTCGGAACCATCAGTGAGTCGATTTGAAGTTGAATGAGGGTACCAGCATGCACGGATAGTACGCATATGTAAATACATCAGTTGTAGAAGTTATGTTCAGAGATATTTGTATCAGAGAAACACAAGTTTCATGCAGGCTTTTATGCAGTGCTTAGAGCGGCTGGCGCTCTGCATTCTTGTCACCGGAATCGAGCACGTCCGAGTCCATTCTGGGACTGAACTGTCCTCGGGAGTTGGAATCGGATCTAGAGTTCGATTCGGTTCATTTCATTCGGTTCGATCCGATTCGGCGTAGGATTCTATTCAGATTCGAGTCTGGAGTTGTACTACGTTACTCGAAGTCGGGAGTTTGCATGAACACCATGCGCGCTTAGGTGGAGTTGGAATTTATCGCGTTAAAGCGAAGTTAGGTGCCAACCCTGTCATGCCTATCGAATGATAATTGTCGATGTTGTTTTTGTTATTTTTCTTTGCTATGAAATTCATGAAGGTGGGTCCAGTCCAGTCCAGTCCAGTCCAGTCCAGCCCAGTCCAGTCCAGTCCAGTCCAGTCCAGTCCAGTCCAGTCCAGTCCAGTCCAGTCCAGTCCAGTCCAGTCCAGTCCAGTCCTGTCCTGTCCTGTCCTGTCCTGTCCTGTCCTGTCCTGTCCTGTCCTGTCCTGTCCTGTCCTGTCCATGTCCAGTCCAGTCCAGTCCAGTCCAGTCCAGTCCAGTCCAGTCCAGTCCAGTCCAGTCCAGTCCAGTCCTGCTGGTTGTGTGGCATCACAGAGTGGCGCTACCGTTTGTCTTATCGGAAGCCTAGTTGGGAGAGCACTCGGATACCACGCTGGAGGTGCGGGTTCGATTCTCAGTCGCCGTCTCGGTCTCTGGCCGTTCTTCGGACCACCTGTGACGTGTGTGGCGCCATCTGTAACACACCTGCAGGAGGCTTGCGCTCGCGGCCGTCGGGCGTGACGCTCACCGGCACGTGCTGCCTTTCCCAGTGATCAACTGGCTGAACAAGCAGCTGAACGAGCTGCAGTCGCAGCCGCGCCGGCCGCCGGTGGCCGCCTTCTACCAGACGCAGCACGGCTCGCTGTCGGCACCATCAGGTGAGAACGCTCCGGTGGCCGCCTTCTACTAGACGCAGCACGGCTCGCTGTCGGTACCATCAGGTGAGAACGCTCCGGTGGCCGCCTTCTACCAGACGCAGCACGGCTCGCTGTCAGCACCATCAGGTGAGAACGCTCCGGTGGCCGCCTTCTACCAGACGCAGCACGGCTCGCTGTCGGTACCATCAGGTGAGAACGCTCCGGCGGTCACCTACCAGACGCAGCACGGCTCGCTGTCCGCACCATCAGGTGAGAACGCTCCGGTGGTCGCCTTCTACCAGACGCAGCACGGCTCGCTGTCCTTACCATCAGGTGAGAACGCTCCGGTGGTCGCGGTCGATCTTAGACCAGCGCTGCCCCACCGATGCATGGCGGGTTTGCAGATGTTGGGTTTTACGTTGTTCTGTTTCGATGAATGTGCGAAACAGTGCACCAACATTGCAAAGCCCAGTTGTCAGTCTATGACATGTTACCCCTGTAACAACAGTACTGGTGGGATGCAGTAGCGGTAACGAAAGGCGTTCAGAGATGGCTCAAATTGATAATGACGATGAGGTCAGTACACTTGTGTTCGGCGGCGGCACAGTTTCTAGTCAAAGGGAGAGTGAGAAAATAGGACTCTGTTGCGTCAAGTCGTTATGGCTTGATCCGGTTATTTTGTATAGTACTCCTAATCCTAAAGTGTCACTCTTCAGAGCTCAGTTTAAGCAACATGCTAAACTTAACTAAAAGTTGTCGCAAGCTCCTGCCTTTTCTGGCTCTCACTCCGCGTTTTTTCAGATGGTGGTTTTCTTATGCAGACAACGCCTAACGTAATCCGCATGTGCTCACGTTTGGAGGTCAAGCTGTTTTTAAGTGTGCAGTGACTCAGTCAACCGGGTAGTTTGATGACTGCGCAACTGCTCTCCTATCAAAAGTTTTTTCTACCCGGAAACATGTTAGATGAAGATGTTAGATTAATGCGTCCCTTACGTTATTGCTCTGCTGAGATGTATCCATTTCACATAAAATAAAATCAAGCTAAAACCGCCTGTGATTTCGCTCTCCTGTATGTTGACATGCCTCTGGCGCGACTGCCCGTTTTGAGCGACGGTAGCGCCCCTGTCGGCAGAACTGCGCACCACGGCCGGCTCGGCGCCCAGCACTTCCACACCGATGTCGGGCGTCAGCGCGCCCCGACTGCGCGAGCCGCCGGCCGACACAATCGCAGCGCCACCTGTGCCGGTCAGTGCTGCCATCTGCCGAGATGCTGTTGTCGGGTGCGATGTCGACTGGGCTGCAAACTGCGGCTGTCTTGCTTTTATGTTTGTTTTTTTTAGGCACTGGTTGTGAATCCATTTTTGGAGTTCATCAACCAGTTTTTATTCGTGGTCTCACACTTAAACCTGTCGCGTTTGGTTTTTCAGGCCACTATCAGACCGGAAACAAGCGGAAACAAAGCCACTGTTACCAATCCAGCCAAGAAAAAGACGCCACCCTCTTCGCAGAATGCATCTGCAGAGTAAGCCAGTTATTTTCATGCTACTTGTTTGCCTCTAATATTTGCGTCTACTCATCTACTTGGTGGAGCGTGTTATGCCTTCCAGGAATCGAAACTATTCATCATCGAGGCATTATTGTGTGTTCAGTAGTTGCTTTGGGCTTTGTCCGACGTTCTCCGGGCATTGTGAATGGCATTGCCGCCTCCGTTCTCTAAGGAAAGACACTATTCTGTCTGGTTAAACAGGCTCCAGGGTAGCATTGTGCGGCGCGCTGAACCTTCCGCCGTTCCGTCTGATAAAACAGGCCGCAGACGAAATCATCCGATGAATTGTGTCGGCCTTGTGGGTAGTAGGTAACTTGTGGGTAGGCGTTGCAGCATGCACGAAGTAGGCTGTGTGAAGCAGATGCCCTTAAACCAAATACACCGTCGTAAACTGTTCAGAATAAAATGTCTAAGATTTGAAGGACGCCGTCAGCCCGCCTGAAGACAAAGTGGCACAAATATCATATCAGTATGTGACTGTCGCTCCCGACTCTGAGAGATGGTACGGTAATTGGACTTGTGTTCGACAATCCCTCGTTGACGTCGATGTCAACTCCGACGCGTCCACGCACTCCTCGGCTACCCTTCGTTGACCTCGCGTTTGCAGCCCTTTGTAGATTTGGCTGGGATGTAAGGCTACTGATGACCCCAGCGGAGAATGCTACCTTTGTTTCGTCAGGAGGGTTTGCGCCAACCTAGCTGCCGTGACCGATTCCGTTCTCGGTTCGTGGGGACTGGTTACCAGTGTGGCCAACACTGCCGGGCGCCGCCGCCGGCCCGGATGGCTTCGGCACCTCCCCGGCCGCGGCCATCGCCCGGCTGACCGTCGGCTAATCCCTTGCAGCCCGCCGCCGCTGGCCACGCGCTACCTGCAGGCGGCCAAGGGCGAAGGAGTGCGGATAGCCGGCCTCGTGCGGCGGCCCCTGCCGGCCCAGTGACGTCACCGCGGCATCTGACGGGACAGCGACGTCATCACGGCGGCTGACGGGACAGTGACGTCATCACGGCGGCTGACGGGACAGCGACGTCATCACGGCGGCTGACAGGACAGTGACATCACCACGGCGTCGGACGAGATAATGACGTCACCACGGCGTGCAATGGGACAGCGACGTCATGGCAGCTGCTGGAAAAGTGACGTCATCACGGGACAGTGATATCACCACGGTGGCGGACGGGACAGTGACGTCCACACGGCCCCCCTCTGGCCCGGGCATTATGACATGGTGTGATAATGTGATGCACACGTGATGGACACAACGGCGTATCATCATCACGGGCTTCCTCCAATTGCGGTAGGCCGAATCCCAGGTGACCCCGGGCGAGGATGAAGGCCGCTGGTCAGGCCACCGCCAGATGTCATGGTGATCGTGCTGGCCTCGCCGCGCCACCTGTCTGGAGATTGCAGAAGCTCGGGGCGTGTCCCGATCGCCGTCAGAGGCGGTCCCAAGCACGTGAAGGCGGTCGGCCCGGGCGGGAGCCGCCCCGCCCCTGATGTGTGGGACGCTCGTCTGGCGCAGCCCGTTATAGCACGCAGCATACAGCGGCGCTCGTCCCCTCATGGTGTTGTGCTTTACCGCAGATTTGTGTCAGATCCGTCTAGAATGGCCTATGCTGTCGTGGTGTCGGAAGTCGCAGGAATGAATGTTGGTGTTTGATCTGGTAATGCCGGAGACAGATAGCAGTATTTGATATGGGAGGCCAGAAGGACTGCACTATGATATATAGACGTGTTCGTGATGGGATGCGATGATGCAAACCATGTTTGAGTACGTTCTCTTAGCTAGCATTAGGAGTCAAGTAATAAATGCTTATGTGTAAGTTGAGATGAATCAAGGCATGAGAATATCATGATAGCTACGGATAAAATGAAACATCAGTACAATGAAATGAAATTTCACGTGTTGAACCCCCATGAAATTGTCCCAAATCAGTTAACGGATCGTCATTTTCCGGCCTCTTCCGCCTTTTTGCGGGTTTTTTGACGCATGGGAAGTTTTGGACGTGGCTCTGGCCCCCGGGCAGCGGGTCTCCAAGTAGCGTCTCCATGGATAAGTTGTCTGCGAAGTCGCACGCTGCCTGATAAGTTGCCTGCCTGTCATGCTCAACGGAGTTGGGCGAGAATGCACCCGGCGAGGAAGTCGCGAGCATACCAGTGGACCACCCTGTGTGGCGTGTGGTGGGCAAGGCGGCGATACGCTATTGTTAGCGCCACGAAAACGATGCCCAGCCATTCGGCTTTTGGAGATCCCTTATACTGGATTTTATTACATGAACCCCCATAAACACTGGATAGTGCTTATGATTGCATGGGAACATCCTTGTGTGAATTCAGCATGTGGATGTGCACTGATGTTTCGCGGCCGCGCACCAAGTCGCGAGTTGCATCGGCCAAGCCAGCTGGACTGTTGCATCGGTTTAGCGTCGGCCAATTTTAATGCACTAGTTACGTGGTTTGCAAGCAATTCACGTCTTTGGTGACTGCGAGAAAAGTGTTGGGAGAACTGCTTATGTTTTGGGTGGGTATTGTCCAACAAAATTATTGTTTTGCATCTATGTAGTTGTCATGCACTCCCTGGAATCGGGTCAAAGGTCGCCAAAACGGCCAACACCACCTGAAAGTAGTTGCGGACAACCACCCCATGTTCGAAGCCTATGGGACCGATCAGTATGACAACTTCCCGAACGATGCGCTATCGCCGACATCGTATCCCGTCCAAAACACGGTGACTTTGTGTTAGATCAGAGGTCACCAAAAACGCCTACAACCACCAAAGCTGACTGCAGACAACCCCATGCTTCAAGGTTGTGGCACCGATCAGCATGAAACCTTCCCCGATCGGTGTGCCATAGTCGATATCCTACCTTTTCCAGACCATGGTGACCTTGGGTTAGGGCAAAGGTAACAAGAAACGGCCAAACCCGCCCGGAATTAGTTTGCAGACGTCATACTCCGAGCCTTCGTGACAGATCGGCATCAAACCTCTCCCAGTTGATTTGCAATATTCGATAACCTATGTCCTTTCCAGTACATGGTGGCCTCGGGTTTGGTCAAAGGTCACCAAAAATCGCTGAAACCACCTGAAATTAGTCTGCCTTACCATGCCAGCACCAAAGCCTTGCCAAGGTCTCATGCTGATCGGTGCGATGGGCTTGGAGCATGGTGTTGTCTGCAAAATAATTTCAGGTGGTTTTGGCCATTTTTGGTGACCTTTGACCCGACCCCAGGTTACCATGTTCTGGAAAGGATAGGATATCGGTACGGTTTCGATATTTTAATGCATCGGTACGTGTAATGTATCTTTCTCGAGGCTGTTGTGAAAGTGTTGATTTTTGAGTCGTCAAATGTCACTGAATGGCTTTCTTCGAATCTGAGCGGACGGGGCATGATGAGGCATAAACCCAACAGCACCTGGGTCTTTCTGTCCCCAATCGCCACCGCCTTGGTGTTAAAAGTGTACCTCCTTGGAAAAATCGTAGCATCATGGATAGTCGGGGTCAATGTCGGCAGGGAAACGTTGACAGCCCGTATCTGATGGTGTCAATGGTTTAATGGTAACGCGTTAGAAATCGCCGAAATATTTTCAGGCATTCAGGACTGTATGGTCATCTCATCATTTGTTGGATGGCTTTCACCCATTTGAACAGTATTACACGTAACGACTTTTGGAGCGCAAAAGTCTTACAAGGACTGCGAGGGGAAACTGCTGTCGCGATCTCCTCCCCCACCCTCTTCCTTATTTGGCGCGTATACAGTGGGCCGAGCTAATGGGTCGAGCTAGCCTGCCTAGCAGCAGTGCGTCGAACAGGATATTTTCTAGAAACATGCCGGGTGTCGGGATAGATTTTAGCAACAGTGGGCTTTCGGCAAACATTGACTGTCGACATGCTGGAAATCCTTTGCGTTCTATGTTCTGTGGCTGTCGCAAAATATGTACCCGCACAACTAAACAGTTGAGGACATTCAATTTGGACTCTTACATACATTACTGGAACAGGTTCTCTTACACCAACTCTGGGTTTTATGTACACAATCAAATCAGATATTGAAAAGAGCTAGAGTTGAACACAATCCCGTTCTCGGATCACTCCGCGCCTTGCCCAAATATGGCCAAAATGGTAAATATGGTCTATATTTGAAATACAAAAAATCACCCACGGTGTAACAGATTCTAAGGCTTGTGATGAGAATTTATAAGCTTATTAGTTTTGGAAGGTGTGAGGAACTCGTCGATCTAGTGATGCAATACATCCTGGTAAAGGGAGACCCTGTTCTGCGCCATGCGTCGCGCATTGCACATGCTGACGTGCCCCATTGGTTTGGCAGAGGAAACAAAACTCGCAAGTTGTCCAAAATCGCCAAAAGGAGAAACAAAACCGGGGTTTAATCCTGCCGACTAGGGGTTGTAGCGGAACGGAATCAGCACATTTCTATTCGGGTAAGAGCGAACTATTGCAGTGGCATTCACAAGCACGATTCGTCGCGTGCGCCAGTACATGTGTGACTGTTTAAGGTCACGGATCCCATGGCTTGTGGACATTTTACAGGATTTATGCCAGATCTCCATAGCCCATGTACATAACACCACGAAACCGACTGCATAATGTAGGCGCATGTACCGTCCACAAAATGCCCTGCCGTCCATGGCTGCCTGGCCCATAGCAACGTCGGCGATCGATCGGGAAGCGACGCGCACTTCCGAAATTTATTTCGAATGCAACACACTGCCACTTAAACCAAGTGAGCGGCAGACGCAGAACTAACACAAGCGTAAGACCCAATTCATGGTGACCGCGTTTCGCAATGCATCGCGATAGCGACTCCAGCGAACTTGCGTGTTTCCTCTACAAGAAGTCGCGCCCGCTCGTCGGTCTTCCGCCGCTACGAATAAGCTGCATACTGTGCAGTGCACAGTCGAGTTTGTGCCGAAAGTCCTCCGCACGGCGGATATCATTAAGCAGGCGCGTGACTGAGCGTTTGGGTGTCGCAGCAATACGGGACAGGAATGCCTTGACTGGCACAACAGCATGGAATTGTACCGGCTCACATACGCCTTCCTGTGTACAGGTGGCCTCGCACTGTTGACCACAATCCATGAGCACGCCAGTTATATCGCATGTCGTGTGATATGTACAGAACCATTCAAACCACGACCGTCCGATACGGTAAGCAGCGGCATGTAATAAACGTCTCAGAGGCTGCATGGGAAATGCTGTTGTGACAGATTTTTAGTCGCCGAACGCCACTAGCTGTCCTCATTCGAATGTGACCATGTGGCGCATAACCAACAGCACCTGTGGCATTCTACCCGTATGTGTGACCATCGGTCGGTTTAAGGTTCCCCTCCCCCTAATTGTAAAGTTGTAGCACTATGGTTAGTTGTGATGAGTTCAGGGTCTATAGCCCCACGAGTATGTTCGAATCGCTTTCGCCTGTTTACACACTTCTACATAGCATGATGCTTGGAAGACAAAAGACGCACAAGGCATATGACAATACACAGAGGAGTACTGTTGCAATCCCGCCACCTCTCTCCCTTTTTATTGTTCACTTCACACAATTTGGGCGCTGCCGTATGGCCCGAGGTAGTCTGCTTATCAGCAGTGTTTCCGAAAGGATATTTCCCCGAAAATCCCGAGTGTCGAAGTGGATTTTTGCAATCAATGTCTTCGGAAGCGCTCATTGACGACAGAGAAGAGTCATCTTGCTTATTTTATTTGCGCTGTGCCTCTAGCAAAAATATGCAGTGAATTCTTGCGAACATTCGATATGGACTCTGTACGCAGGCTGACTCGAACAAGCACTTACACACCATCCTTGGACATTATTTCGAAAGTCAGATCAGGTAGTACATTTAACTTAACTTGAAGCAATGTGTTGTTCGAACCAAATTGTTTACCTGCAAACGTGGCCTCTAGTGCTTCATAAGACTTGCTTTATGTTGTGACGGCTCAAACCTCAGCCTTTCTCTCCATTCCTCTGTCCCATTTCTTGCGCATTCACGAACATAAACATGGCCTTTAGTGCTTCATAGGGCGTGCTTTATGCTGTGACGGCTTAAACCTCTGCCTTCCTCTCAGTTCTTCTATCTTACTTCCTGCGCATCTGCAATCATGGCCTCTAGTGTTTTATAGAACTTGCCTTATGTTGTGACGGCTCAAACTTCTGCCTTCCTCTTACTTCTACTGTCTCAGATATCAAGGGTTACTTTCCATCAAATCGATCTATTTGTTTCGTTTCCCACTGGATGAGAGCTCGGTCATTGATTCATATCTGCTGATGGATCTGAGTTACAAGTTACTCTACAAGCAATACCACGGAAAACCACACAACGCATATGACCAAAATCACCACCTGTTGCTTGTCCATAACAAAAATATTTATGAATGCTGTCGGAAACGATGCATGGGCATGCAAAGCATATCGTACTGGGGGTTTGCGCCTCAGTTTGTTGACCAAAGACATGGCTGACAATGATATGGTTATGCGGTATAAAATAAACATTCATATTCGCCACGTTAAGAGATTCGAACCCCGGCTGGTCTTTGATAAGCCAGCGAATGAGCGTGGCATTCTGCGTGGATGAAAACCGGAGATTTCGCAGTGACGGACGTTTTGAGCGATTGTGACCAAGGACCTGCGCACATATTTTGGATGGATGTTGATCACTGTGAACTGGGTTTTACGTACGTGTCAATTTCACAACCACAGCTTCCTCGGTGTAGGCGCCAGGACATATTCCGGGTGCTCTAGAAAAACGCGACATTGGTCGCTTTCCGACCGACTGCTGGCGTCGCTACGTGCCTGACGGTGTTGGACTGTCTGTACAGTGGCTGGGCAGGCGGGGAGGAGCACGAGGGGCGCACCCACCCCCGTGAGGTCCCGAGGGGCCCCAAGAGCCTGAATGGCCGGTCGTAGGTCGTATTAAGCGGCCCGACTCGCAGCGCCAGACCCCCGAATACCTGTCAGAGGGCACTTTGAGGGCCTCCCTCTGTGAGCATTTCGCCATGTGGACTTTCGTCACTTCGGCGTGTTAAAGGTTTGGTACGTCGCCATTTTACAGTTCGCCAGTTTGGTATGTCGACTTTTTACGTGTCGCCATTTTGCGGTTCGCCATTAGACGTTCGCTATTTGGCACGGCGCCTCTTTGCCTTCAGCCTTTTTGCAGTTCGCCATTCAGCTGATTCGACTTTTTGGCCCGTCGACTTTTTTGCATTTCGCTATTCTGCGGTCGCCATTTAGCAGTCGACAAAAAAATACTTTCGCCAAATGAGCTTTTCGACCTTTTATCCTAGAACCGTCTGATCGAGGCATTGAATAGTCTCTCTTTCATGACAGCCAACTCAAAAAGGTCCGCTGATGTCTGGTTCGAGTGGTGTGGTTCACTCTGGCAATTTCAGGGGAAGGCATCTTTCACCTTTCATTGATATTTGACTCTGGTGTTCATGACCTGTAAAAAAACTGTAAAAGCTGACATCTTCATTGAATATAAATCACGATAAGCTGGTCTTCGACCCCGGGCAGTTGTCATGGCCCTTCGCTCCTCACCCTTTCCTTTTAAGCTGCACCACGTTGCATTCCAGGCCTTTTAAGGTGACCATGCTGCATTCCAGGCCTTTCAAGCTGCACCACGTTGCATTCCAGGCCTTTCAAGCTGCACCACGTTGCATTCCAGGCCTTTCAAGCTGCACCGCGCTGCATTCCAGGCCTCTTGAGCTGCACCACGCTGCATTCCAGGCCGGTTTCGTGGAAGGTGATACCGGCCGCTTGCCGGCAGGTTTGGGAGCTGGACACATACGGGGGCTGAACTGATAAGATCACTCAGTGATTTGTGGAGCGTACATCCGTCTACGCCTTACAGCTGGCTCCATGCCTTGGCTGCCCTGCTCAGGTTGTCAAGAAATTCAAGAGGAGTAAATACAATACCACATCGCTCCTTAAAAAGGTACAAAAACCGCAGGACTTGGCGAGGTGTGCGTGACCGGCCGCACACATAGATGCACCTTTGCCATTACCGTTGCCCGACCTCTCCTCCCTCAATGTGTTATATTTTGTACCGGAGGCGTTAAAATTTGAGTCCGACCTCGACCAGTGTCTTCCACATTTCTTTTGTAACTCCCGAATTTCACGGCTCCGGTGTTAATCGGGTGTGGTGGGCCATGTTTTGTTCAAACTGCGATGATACAGGAAGGTCACTCCCGATCAGACGGCCCGAATGTGGTTGCCCAACCTTAAAATTGAAACGCACCACTAACACGATTGACCTATTCAAAACCGAGCCGCGCTGGTGCCAGTGGCTGTCAAGATAATGACTTCCAGAAATCGGGCCGACCGAGGCGGACCAGACCGCTTAAGTTCTAACTTGGACCGCTGCTCCAAAGGATATTCGCGCACTTTGACTCACCGGCATGTAATCATATTTCTGCGCGAGACACTACGGAATGACGGGCACATTTAAATTTGTATTCTGCCCAACATGCCCGCGCAGCATCTATTCAAAAATTGATTATGATCCTCGCTTAAAGACTGCTTTTGTGCACGCAGTTAACTTCCGTGACTTGGCAATTAGTCGCCATGCAGACCACATGCTAGTTACATGATTGCACTGCATGTGGATCAATGAGGCGGACGGCGCGCGTTTTATGGACTTTCTGACTAGCCAGATCAGACGGCACTCGTTTTATGAGTTTTCTGACCATTCAGATTAGACGGCGCTTGTTTTATGAGCTTTGACCAGCCAGATTTGCCACCCATCCGGACGCAAAACCCGACCAGGATATTCGCTGTAACTAGACGACGGCTTTAGTGGACCCCATCTGAGGTAGTGCGCATGATGCAGTTAGGGAAAACACGGCCTGGCGGTCCCAGCTGAAAAACGCGTCCTAAAACTGAGGGCCTAAACCGCGGTTTGGTCGTATTCGCCCGCGACACGGGACGTGTCAGAGGTTCACGCTTTATTTTTTTATTAAATTTTATCCAAACGTTTTGAATGGGTGGAGTTCTGGGATCGGCTCACGCTAAGTGCTAGCTGTGTGGGGCTTGACCCCTGGCATCCGACCGCGCAATACCAGACTAACGGCAGAACTTGGTGCCGAAAGTTTAACGGGCTGCCATGCTCGGCGCGGCCTGTCCCGCCCTCAGGTGTCAACTGCCGGCGTGGTCGCTGCCACCCGACGCAGGTCATACATGTGAAGGCTAAAAAGTGAGCACCTAAAGCGACTCGAACCCACCCCACCACGCGTGGGTGGATCGGAATGCATGCGCTGTGACTTACTGGGCCATCGGGACAGACGCGGTCGTGATCGTCCTCTCCCTTCACGAGTACCCTGGCGCCAACTGTTGTTACCATTGCTAGCTTGTCAGCTATTGCCACACGCGCCACGCCTCCCACAAATTCCGGCCAGCCACCTTCGCCAGTGCCGAACATTTTCTTAACAATGGCACGTCCACGCGGTTCGCGTCCGGGCCGATCATGCCCTGAGGGGACGCAGCCGGCCGCCGAGCACGGCTTTACAACTGCGCAGACACATCACGGGGATTGAGTGGTGCGCTCACACCACCTCTCCACGTTTGGGAAGCCTGCACGACTCGTCGCGGAGCTTAGGCACGCTCACTTCTCGCACACTGCGTCCATCCGAAGCGCGTGCAACAACATACCTGCAAAAACAATCGCATCATATTTATTGCTTAGAAAACTGCGGCGATGTACAGAACGAGATGAAATAAATATCCGTGCAGACTCTGAGAGGAAAGGCGCGGCGGCGGGCGGCAGGCGCCGAGCCGCCGGCAGCGGGCGCCACGGGAGGCCGCCAGCGCCGCCACAGCTACCGTATCCTTTGGTTGTTAGCTGTTCCCCTCTCACGCGCGCCGCCTGTACACCGCTGCCGGGCCGAGATCGCAGCGACACCTCTAGAATAGTACGCATAACAAGGTTTGTACATCCAAAACACACGCTCGGTCGGCTGCCCGGCCAGGAATGAAACGTCGAGGCCGGCGGCCCCCAACCAAACGTAGCACCCGCACGCGCACGGCAGCAAATAATCTACTCTCGAGCTAACTCACGCCGGTGAAGCACGATAAACTATTCAATATCACATGTAAACACGTGCGCTTTGGCCAGTTCTGTATACGGCACGTGTTGACCGGTGGGCGGCGGCGCGCCTCACTGGCACGTGGGGCCGGGCCGGGGCCGCTGGTCGGCCGCTGCGTCCCCCGGGCCGGCCGGTGTCCGCGCACCGCTCACTCCCGGCCGTCGCCGGCGCGCGGCGGCGGCCCGCAGTCCGCGACGGTTCACATGCTGGGCGGCGTATCGTACGGCATGATGTTGTCCATGGCGGCCATGCGCGGCGCCGCGGCCGCCGGCGGCGGCGGCAGGCCCGGCCGCATCACCTCGTGCACGCCGGACATGTGCGGCCGCGGCCCCGGCTCCGGCGTGTACGTGAACGTCAGGCCCGTGGCGTAGATGACGCCGTCGTTCCGCACCAGGCAGACGGGCACCTGTCGAGGAGCGGTGTGTCAGACGGCGGGCGCGCGACCTCACGGGCGGCGCGGGCAGCAGGGCGCACCAGGCGTTAGAGCGGTGACAGGCGCTGGAAGGATCGGCACAAGACGGCGGGAGGTAAGGAACACTGGTCACGTGAGGAAACAATTGTCGTTAAACGAGCAGAGCGACATGAACGGCTTGCAAGTGGGAAACTTCCACAAGTAAATCACAGGAATTGAGACCGCCGCTACCCGCAAGTGAACGAATTTTTCTGAATGTGCACGCGCCCTCTCTCCCCTGCGACGCCGACGCCATGTCCCTGTGCGCCGCCGCGCGACACTCACGTTGGTGGGCTGGCGTACCCACTGCCAGTTGCCCCTGAAGGCCGAGATGTCTGGCACCACGCACAGCATGGACTCGCCGCAGCGGAACATGGTCTCGGCCTCCACCTCTCCGAACCACACCTTCAGCTTGGGACCAAAGTTCTCGCCGGCCAGCTCCAGCATGGCCACGTCGCCGCCGCCGTTCAGCTGCCAGAAGACGACCGGGTTAGGCGCGGCGTCGGCGCGGTGGAGCCTGCGCACGGCGGCGGCAGGTTCGCCAGGGAACGTATCTGGAGCTGTCCACGCAATATGACTGCAGCTATTGCTGCGATTCCATAGCCGGCACTCAACCATGAACAGACATGTTGCAGCCCTTTAGAGTGCGGGCGATACAGGTACTTCAAACATGGCTGAGCACCCCTGCCTGAGCGCCTGTAGACTACACCTGCGCGCGGACCCGGCCGCGGCGACAGACCCCAGGCCCCAGCCCGGCTCGGGCGCCACTCACGTGCAGACTGTGCACGATGGGCACGGGCGTGACCGGCGTCCGCACCGGACCCATGCCCTCGTAGAACGTGTACTCGGCCCGGTCCGTGGAGATGATGGTCCAACACGCGCCGTCGTTGATCATCTCCTTGTTCATCTCCTTCGGGCACGGCGTCGCCTGCGGACGGACGCACGGACGCTGTCAGAGATGGCTGGTTTTCGCACGTGAGTCCCGCCGTGGCCTAAACGCTTGAAGAAATCCTTTCCGTCGTCCGCTGAAGTCCGGTGCACCGACTGCACTCTCTCCAGCTGGTCCTTTCACGTCCCATGCCCAACGTACATTCACTCCCGGCAAAACGGCCCGACCGCAACAAGCAATATCTCGCCGTGGAGGGTTCGGCGCCAGGGCAAGACACTACCCGGTATTTTCACACACGAGGCGGCGCTGTACCGATGCGCGCGCGCGGCCCGGCTGTCTCGATGAGGCGCACGGCACACGCACCTGGAACTGGATGATGCGCTCCTGGCTGAGGCACAGGTACATGCGCTCCGTGTCCTTCATGTAGAAGGCCACCTTGTGCAGCTGCGAGATGGGGTCATCGGCGTCCAGCAGCGCCATCTGCTTGTCCACCTTGCGGATGACGAGGCGCGGCAGGGCCATGCCCGTCACTGAGCAGACCAGCTTGACGGTGGCGCCGTAGTGGATATAGCCGTCACGTACGGTGAACTCTTCCGACTCCGACTCACTCTCGTCCACTGAGGGGGAGGAACACAGTCATCAGCCGTGCGACAGACCCACCGGACCAGCACCGAACCTGTTCGCCGCAGCGGGACGAGTTCCCATAGAAGCGCCGCTCTCCCGTCTCCACGACTGACGCATGTTAAACGGAGCACGGACACACGTGCACTACAGAATCAACCTCATCCCAATCCTCTCTACGTGTCACCCAGTTTATCTCCAAAAGTCCCCAACCCACAGCGCAGGCTGGGCGGCCGCCCGGCGCGCGGCGCCTCCCCCCCCCCCCCCCTTCCCCCAAGTGTGCTCGGGCCCCGGCAGCGGAGCGGCGGCATCTCGGCGGAGCTCGGCCGCGACACCGGTCGATACGGGCAAGGCCGGCCACAGCCTCAGGCGCCGCAGCGGCGCACGCGGCACCGGGCCGCACCGGACCGGACCGGACCGGACCGGACCGGGCCGGGCCGGGTCAGGCCGGCGCAGCCAGCACGGCTGCAGCTGGAGAGACGAGCCGCCGCGCGCTATTCCCGGACCCTGCACGGGGTGAGTGAGGCCCTCGGGGTAGCCACCCGGGGTGGACCGCCTGCCGCCGCAACCTTTGTTGGAAAGACCACCAGCGAATTCCATGCGAGGCTTTTAAAATTTGAGCTTGGAATACGCCAGTCTCCTTGCGAACTGCGGTAGGGTATGAGGAGGCAGAGCTGCTGTTTCCAAGGCTTCCATCAAAGACCCCATATGGACGGTCACGCGTAGACTCGGTGTTGACAAGCGCCTTTGGACAGCCGCAGGAACACCACAGCAACGCAGTACGTCGCGGCCGGAGGCAGCTGTCACCACCGCGCGGCGCGGCTCGAACACGGCCCACTCACGCAGGTGGATGGTGAAGGCGCCCCACTGCGTCGACGACGCGTGGAAATTGCCGTTCTCCACGTGCAGGTAGCGCGTGCTGACGGTCTGCGAGCGCAGCCGGTTGAAGAGCGCCACCTTGGTGCCGCTGGCGATGCACACTGGAGACAGACGGGGGGACGGTCAGACGCGCTCGCTCGCCAGACGGCGGACGGGGCCCCGGCACACCTTCCACCAGCCGGCCGCGCCGCGCCCCACAGCGCCCCACTCGGGCCGGCCGGGGTGATAAAACGCAGCAAAGCCCGGTGTCTGAAGAAGAACGCGCTATGTAACGGTGCTGAAGCAACAAGGGCGAATCTTACCGACACCTCTCCGCTGTCTTTTGACAATGTCAGATTCGGGATAATAAGGCAGACTGGTGAAGGTCGAAAAACAACTCACGATCAGCGTTCTTCAGTGACTGCTTCTTCTTGCTGGGCTTGGATATGACTTTGATTCGTTTGCTGTGAAACACGCCGATGTCCGTGCCGTTGCCGTAAAACATCTTGGTGGAGAGCATGAAGTGCTTCCGCTTGTCCGAGTCCGAGATGAACAGCGTTTTTGCGGCGCAGTAGTGCTGGGGGCACACCGTCGTCGCGTCACGCCCGGCGGCCGCCACCTCAGCAGTCCCAACAGGCTCGCTCCGAAACCGTGCCTGACCACGCACAGGCGGCAAACGTCTCAGCCATTGAGCGAACGCGGCAGTGCGGACGACAAACTCCGAAGCAGACGTCCCCCGCCACGCCGCCAGCTCTCACCTTGCCGTTGAGGTCGAGCTGCTGCATGTCTTGGTCTGAGTTGCCGATGCCGATGAAGGCGCAGAGCTGGGCGCCCTGCTCCGAGTCGCCCTCCTTCAGCATCTGCTCCCTCTTCCGTCGCCAGCCGTCGCCGTACAGGTAGATGCAGGGCGGCGGGCAGAAGAAGCGCTTCTCGTTGCCGTACGACTTCTGCGCCACCTTGGCGTGCAGGATGACGATCACCTGGTCGCCGTGCTCCTCGAGGTAACGCTTCATCGCGTCACGCGTCAGACGCTGGTCCTTCATCCTGTCGGGGCGGCGGGCCGCGGTCAGCTCGCCGCTCACCACGCTGGTGGGGGACACGGGCGCTCCCGGTCAAACGCTCACGCCAGCGCCGTATCGAATTGCCGCTGGCGGCTTCAGCTGCGGGTGGGCTTCCTGGGGCAGATTCATTCAACAGGCTTGTACACGCCGAGGGAAGTTGACGTAAGAGGTCGGGTACAAAATCGCGTTAAGCACGCCTCCGAGCCAACAGCACGCTCCTCAGAGTGCTCGTCCGCAGTCTCGCTTATGCGGACACACCGACGAGCTAAGTCGGCCGGAACAGAGCTCGGAGAACACTGCCAGTAGCCGGCACGTGCCAGACAAACTTTTATTCGGCGGTGACCGCGGTGCCCACCATGGCCGGCGTTCAGATCGGTGGGGCGGATCGCGGCGACCCGCGAGCTATTTAAAACCGGTCCGGACGGCCGGCCACCGACAAAATGGCGGCCGGCACTGAGCGCTGTCGCCACACGTCTAGTGATAACTCGACGGTTGTAAGAACGTCGATCATCTTCCACGCGGGCGCCGGCTATTGATGCCAGCACTGATACGCCCCACAAGGACAAACGCCCGGACAAGAACGAGACGAACCGACAAAACAGTGGCGCGGCGGGGAGAGCGAGTCAGCTCCAGATCGTAACGACGCCGGCCTCATGGGACGACGGTGCCACACCGCCGCGGCACGAGAGCGACCACGGCGGCCGTCGCCTGGGCGGTCAGGCAAATTCCAGACTTCCAGGAACCAAAAGCAAGCCATCGTTGTATTGTTCGTGGGTGTTATTTCGGGTGATGTTAAGTAATTCTGGGGGCTTTCGAGGTCATAAACTCCTGCGGCTTGGTCTCATTGCCTTATTTTTGCACGCAGTCATTAAGTGACCATAAATTTCACGGAGATGGGAACTCTAAATCAAAGGCGCCAACTGCCCTCCCTCCTCCCTCCCCCCCCCCCCCCCCTATTACCGCACTTGTGCGCCAACCATTCGCTCATCATGATGACATCAGGCTAATCAAATTGACCATGCATAATTTACAATATCAGTCATACACCATGCGCAAAGTAATCAATGAACAAGGACAGGTCAACCAAGGCATAAAATAGTAAATAAAGCATCACTAGCCCGTACGTGAAACAGCTACAAAGCGTCGATTACTTGCGATACTCGCCGCGCGCACCCCCCTGGCGCTCCTGCCTGCCAATGCGCCCAGCGCCAGGTGAGGGCGGCGCGGTGCTGGCCACTCACGCCATGGGGTAGGGCACGGGCGGACTGGGCGTGGGCAGCGGACTGGGCGGCGCTTGCATGCTCGGCAGCGTGCTGATCGAGAGAGGGCTGGAGGCGGGCAGGCCCATCAAGTGTCCGGCGGCCGGCAGATGCGCGTGCGGATGCGCGTGGTGCGCGCCGGCCGCGTGCAGGCCCAGCTCGGCGCCCAACTTGTCCGGCGGCGTCAGCGAGCCGGCGATCAGCGGCCCGTTCAGATCTGCAACACGGGGACGGCGCGGCCGTCACCTCACCGTCACGACACCGTCACCTCCGTCACGTCACCGTCACCTCCACACCAGCGGCGGCCACGTCACGGCGACGGCGCTGGCCAGACCGACGGCCACGTGCGGCTGTGGTGCTGACGCTCGATGCTCTCTATGTGACTGGGTGACGGGACTCTTTATGTGTGGTGTGCCCTGTACAGCGTGTTGCGACAGTAACACAGGACACAGCGAGAGCAGGCGCACATTGCAGCTTGAAGAACGTCAGTTTGTGGCACGTTTACTGGGTGAGATTTCCAGTACGCTACCACGACATACTCAATTATTTGGACAATGCGCTCTCACCCGTCACAACCCAAGTGCACGAGCAAAAAAGCGAAGCGTGTTTGCGAACAATCACCAAACAGCAGTGTCAACCAGGCCTGACGACCACACAAATACCGCTGAAGCTTACTGCCCCATAAAACCAGCCGCGGCTAACTGCACATACAAGCTAAGACCATCCTTTGTCCGACGATCTCGCCGAACGCATGCGAGCCAGCACAGACGACCAGCACTCTCAGGTATTGTGTCGGCTCCCCGAGCCGATTTTGAGTCAACGCATGCACACTACGGCAGCTCCGACCATTTGGGCAAGACCTCTCTGCCTCGCCACCACCAACCAAGCGACGACAGCACACAACCACCTGGCAAGCGACTGACGTCCCATCACCATCCAGCAAGCGACTGACGCCCCACCACCATCCAGCAAGCGACCGACGTCCCACCACCATCCAGCAAGCGACTGACGTCCCATCACCATCCAGCAAGCGACCGACGCCCCACCACCATCCAGCAAGCGACCGACGTCCCAGCACCATCCAGCAAGCGACCAACGTCCCACCATCATCCAGCAATCGACCGACGTCCCACCATCATCCAGCAAGCGACCGACGTCCCACTACCATCCAACAAGCGACCGACGCCCCACCATCATCCAGCAAGCGACCGACGACTCCGCCCAGTGCGGATATGTCAAAAACGCTCACATCGGTTGTATGCGCCGCCGTATTTGACATCGTGAGTCCCCCAATCTGTGGAAGAGAGGGCATAGTGGGGTGGCTGCGCCGCAGGCCCGGGTCATCGCGTGGGGGGGGGGGGAGCAGAGGGGGCTCGCGGGGCGGCCGGCAGCCGGTGGCTGCCTGACTTTCCGTCGGCGGATGCCATGGCCGGCCAACTCGCCGCCGCGTTCTCACGCAACTTGGCGGCGGCCGGCGGCGGCGTCGCCAGATGGCCGACTCTCAGCGCGCCGCCGGCCGATCTATAGCGGCGCGCCGAGGTCGGCCAATCTGGCGCGGCGGCGGTGCGTGCCGCGCGCCCGAGATGGCCGCGCCGGCCGACCGGTCACCGGTGCAGCGGCGCGCGAGAGGCACGGCAGGCCACAGCGGCACACGCCAGAGCTACACTGGCGGACAAGGCGGGGTCGGCGTCTAGCCGAGGGCGACAGCATACAAGAGCGAGATGGCGGCGAATAATACAAGCAAATGCGTGGCGGTAGTCAAATACGGACAGAGTATGTTCCTTCTGACGGCCAGTTGTCTGGACGAAAGTCGCCTTTACATACAGCCTAGCCACAAATAAAAGTGGTAAATGCAAACAAGTGAACACTTCCATTCGGCAGAGACGTAACCACATGCCAGCTGCATCGTGGTAACGCCGCCCCGCAGTCGCCCGGCTTGCCATACACACTCGCATCGGGTGAGAGCAAATGATATCCCCCAAAACCCACCACACCAACTATGACACTTTGGTAGCTAAATAAAAGCCAGCGGTTTTCGGAAGTCATGAAAATGCGGCTCCCTTCCGCCTTGGTTTACAGTACAACACTGCATCACATAACCACGTGCCCACTGATGTCATGGCGGCTCTATCTATCGTACCCACTGATGTGACGGCGGCTCTATCTATCGGATCCATTGATGTCATGGCGGCTATATGTATCACACCAATGGATGTGACGGCGGCTAAATCTACCGTACCCACTGATGCGATGGCGGCTTTATACATCGCACCCACTTATGTAATGGCGGCCATTCTCTATATATGTGATGGCTGATTCTATCTATTCTCCTTGACATTTTATCACAAAAATACCAACCAAACCAATTAATGAGCGTGTGTAGCCAACGAAACCACTTAGACGTCCAGCTACCAGGCTAAGCGGTTACGCAAAAAGGCAGTGCTTCCTGCAGGCGGGCACGTGCTCAGACTATATCAGTTCTATACAGACACAAAGCAAAGGCATCTCGATGTGCCTTGTTTGCAACAGAACATGCACGTGTGCCAGGCCACCTCCAAAAATGTCGCTCACACCCTGGAGCTGTGTACTGCGCTGGGGTGAGCATGTTGCAGATGCGCTGAGTTGAGGGCATATGCGCAGCATTTGAGCGCCGCCCCGAACGTCCTTCCTGAGAACCCATTGGAGGTACGCGTGGGTTGTTATTCAAGCCACCGCAGGTCACATTCCTGAGAACCCATTGGAGGTACGCGTGGGGTTGTCATTCAAGCCACCGCAGGTCACGGCTCTCACGGTGTGCGCAGTAATTGAAACGAATGGTGGCACGGTGTTCTTCGTGCTAATCTTGTAGCAAATGACTATTACAGTTTGAAAACCAAAGGTCATGGGTTCACACCCCATGCATAGTAATTTTCGACAATTGCGACACGCAGCGCTCTGATCTAATTTGATCTATATGAGGAGTGAAAGGCCTCGTTTGTTGTTGTGTGTTAAGGCACACAACGCACAATGGCAAAGTTTTGGCATGAGTTACTGAGACGAAAGCGCAACACGAAACTCATATTTTCTCGTTAAATATAGGCAAACTGCGCAAAACTTTCATCACCGCCCATAAGACACAAGACTAACATTGGTAATGAATGATGCATCTTAACCGTAGAGCTCAGATCCGAAGTGTCTGCTCACCCGTATGGCTAAACGAATGTGTGCTCACGCGCCAGCATTTGTCGACCGAGGGCATGATCGTGTTTTGAGGATAAATTGATCTATAGCCTATAGGGTGTCCCCAAATTGATGTGCAGTTGCATCGTCCTCATTAACGTGGAAACTAATTGAGGCCGATTCACGATTTGTTGCCCATGTAATCGTCACGCAGCCGTATACGCTGCCGCATGCGCTCCGGCAGGCCGCACGTCAGGCTGTCGAGAGTCTCTGCCTTGACTCTCCGCCACGCCGCTTGCACGTTTTGGAGCAGGGTCTCTTGTAAAGTGACCGGCGACATCTTGCTGAGCTCTACCTTGACGATCGCCCAAAAATTATCGATCGGCGACATGTCGGGGCTGTTGCCTGGCCACGTACCCTTCTCCCAGAAGTCCGGAAAGTTGGCGCGGCACCAGTTCGGGGTCTTCTTGGCATGAGCTGGAGCTCAGTCCTGCTGGAAAATTGCCCGCGACATGTCTGGCAGGAGTTTGATCTTGGTTGGTGGGCCATTCTCCTTCCTCCCCTGCATCGTTGAGGCTGCAGTCTTCTGCAGCACCTCTCTGACGCAGTAGTCGGCGGTGACGGTCTGTCCGCGCGAGAGCGCGAGACTTGGCGTAGCTCAGAGAGGCCTCTGTAGCTCATCTTTCCCCAGACAAGAATCTCTAGCGGCTGCTTCACTGCCTCGGCGATCGGCACTTCCAACCTGTTGTTGGCCCAGACCCGGCCATTTTCGCGGTTAGGTGCTTGGAAGAGCTTGAAGGGCGACCCATCGCTAAGCAGGACACAACTCCAGTCCTGAACGGACCAGTTCTTGTGGGTCTTGGTGAATTCCAGCCGCCTGCGCTTCTGGTCCACAGTAAGCCTTGGCTGCAGCCTGGGCTTGAGCGGCTTCAGTTGCAGGCTGATCTTCAGATGCCGGTGGACGGCCGGCTTCGAGGCTGGGTGCTTCTCCGCCGTCAGTTTTCTCGCCAGATTCTCGTCGAGTGACGCCTTTCGAGGGCTGACTTTCCAATGACGATCTCCGCCACTCGGCTTAAGGCCGACTTCCGCCCAGGAGCTGTGCGGTTTTGGAGCGTCTCTCCTGAGCGGTCGCCGGACAGCCAGCGCCTGATCGTCGCTACGTTGACGCCGAAGTCCCTAGTGACCTGAGCGTGGATCGTGCCGCCCTGGACCATCCCAACCGCGCGGCAGCGGATCGATGGCTCGCGCTCTTTCACCAATACTGATATGCGGACTCGACGTGCCGGCTAGTTTGAAAGGCATGACCTCTCTCGCCCGCTACCGGCCAAGGTCAGGCTGGCCGCTTGGGTCATGTGACCGCCTGACACGACGGGATGCCCTGGGGCCCAGCGCGATACAATTGATCTTACTCGGCGTTCGGGAGAGGGAAATAATAGACGGTACCAACCGCGCATCAATTTCGGAACACCCTGTATTAAATGAGTGGAACACCACCCCGAGTGTATGGCAGACAAAACTTGTTGCTGGTACCTTTTCGACTTACACGATCATGGGAAGTTAGTTTGCCGTTCAATACAACACTATAAGGTGGCCGCGCCATATGAGGCGTCCGGTCCGTTACCGGCGGACCTTTAAAGGCAATGTTTCACATTCGAAGATATTAAAGTAAGCATCAGATATCATGAAACAAGCTCACTTATAACAATTAATGCACTTTCTAAGTGGAAAGACTGCTTTAAACTGCACAGCACAATTATCTGTCCAGTAAATGTGTTCCTTAGTGCGTCATGGTTTGATTACGTCATCGTACCTCGCACAACATTGAGTGAGAGCCAATTGACGGCCATTATATCGGGAAATCGCGCTCATGAACGCCAGACATGAATGCCTCGACAATTATATTTGTATTGGCCAAGATCACCGCATGGATTATGGAATGACAGGATTTTAATGCCGTCATTATGACGTCCTGAATGCCAAGGTGACTTTGAGGCACTCTCCCCAGTATACCTTTCTCCATGTTCACGGACGTATAGTTCAGAAACTAGAGAGGCTTAGGTTTAAAGAAGGGCAGGGTTTTGAACAGCACCGAAAGGTCTTCAAGATGGCTTTTTCAGTTCAAAATCCCATACGAATGTGTAACACTCCTTTTCATGAGAAGCGCCGGACTACACAGGCCGTCCATCTGGAAATCGGGCACAGATGCGGTGGGCAAGTCCTCCATCATCCTCTGGCACGGAGGAAATAAACGTTTGCGTTGTTCCCTAAGGTGCGCATTGCTGAAGGCACGCACACTGAAATGTTGTCCCCTCTACTGCTGTCGTGGTGCTAGTGCTTTACCAGCGTGCAGTTCGCCCACATAACGGCCACGGATGGATATGCCCAGTCCAAAACCTTTGCTTACCTTGCTCTTTGACACGAAGAATAAACCTTGACAATTTCAAGATCGTGACATTCCGAAAACCCCAGCCAAGCATGATTTTTCTCCCGTCGCAGCCTAAAATCCCTCCCAAAGTGCAATGAAATGACAGCAAGCCGGCAGTAACTCGGGATATGCCATTACCGCATCCCATCAAAGACGCGTGACTAGTCCTCGGGCGCCGATGGGTGTATGACTGGCTGTCGCGGCCGGCACCCATACCGAAGCCACAAGGAGCGGCGGGGCGTGCAGAGGTGACCGGCGCGCGCCACCCGAGATTGGACGGTGAGTCGCGTGGTCGTCGTATGAGGGGTACCGCCGGCGGCCGGACCGGCCCACCTGACACCACGTCACGGCTGTGAGGACAGCAGGTACACACGGGGGCTGGCGGCCGGACTAGGCCAAGCACCAAAACACCGCTGCATCTCTGAGGCTGATGTTGATCATCTGTTTGATCTCCGCGGATCGGGGAGAACCACAGAGACCGCACGTGCACCATCGCTCGGACAGTCGCGGCACAAGGCCCGGAGTCCCAGCCACCTCTGCAGAGGACAGCCGTGCCGTCTGCGGCGCCCCGACCGGTCTCCATCTCCTGAGCGCCCGGACACCGGCCCGGCCCGGGAGGCGCGCTCCTCGGCCCCGCCGGAAGGGGCCCAGATCGGACCATCTCCGGGCCGCTTCCCACGGCCGGGCCCGGCACAATGTGCGCCGCGCATCCGGCACCGGCCGCTGACGCACCAGATCGGCCGCAGATCGGCCGCCGCCGCCGCGACACACGGCGCGACGGCGGCTGAACAGGCACGGACGGATTCTCCGGCTCCGGTCCGGACGCTGACCTGGTCGCCAGTTCACGGGCACGGCGAGCGCTGACGGCCGCCGGCGCCACGAGCGCGCCGGTCAGGACCTAGGCTTCGGCGGCGGGCCGCGGCTGGACCGGGCAGACTCACCCGACTGGCTGGCAGCCGCGCCGTACGGCCCCGGCACCGGGTAGAAGGGCGACTCCCAGTAGGCGGCGCCCGGCTCGTAGTCGCCGCCACGCTCCATGGCGCCCGGTCAGCGGGCCGGGCCGCCGGCAGCCTCTGGCGCCATCACCACACGGCCGCTGGCGCCGCAGCCGGACAGGGTCAGGTTGGGTCAGGTCGGGTCGGGCGCCGCCTGCTCGCGCCGATCGGTCGGCTCGACTGGCCGGCGGCGGCGCAGCCGTCGGCCGCGCCGCCGCCGCCGCAGCGCTCCCCTCCTCCGTCCGGCCCCAGCGCCATCTATTTGCCATGCCATTAATTACGGCCGGCACCTGCGCCGTTCCCACGGCATCCTCGTCGGGGCCGACGCGGGCCCCGCTGCCGACGCGCACCGAGCACGCCACCGATGACCGCCCCGTAAGTGGTTCGGCAATGATTTTCGATGCCAGTCAGTTCGCCGGCGGTCTGAGCAGCGCTCCCGACGGTGACCCGCCAGCGGTGCCGGCGGCGACCGGTCACGCGCCGCGCCGCTCACGGCAGCCGCGTCGCGCCCCGGTGGCGGCGGCGGCGGCGACCGGGCGCAGCCTCCGCATCCCGGCGCCGATCTGGCGGCGGGGCGTGGCCTGGCCCCGCCGGCCACGCGTCTCGGCCAATGGCGCGGCCGCGTGCCGACGGAGGGCGGGCCGCCGCCGGCGCCGATCATTACCGGGCGCCGGCACGGCACGTGCCGGCCGTCGACGCGACGCGTCGCCGTCGCCACCGCGCCACACGCCGCGCCCGTCGTCGAGACCGGCGGCGCGGCCGCGGCTGCGGCACACTACCCGGGAGCCGGTCGAGGCCAGGCCGGGCCGCGCGCCGCCGTGATGTATGCCTTCCTGTGGGGTTTCGCTGCTGGCCCGCCGAGCGGCCGGTAATTAGTCGCTCATTGTCGCACGGTGGCGGTGGGAAGCGCGCCCCGGGCGGAGCCGGCGGGCCCGCACATTCACCGGCCAAGGCGACCGCCCGACCGGCGGCCGCCGCTCATTGCCACTCTCCACAAACGACCGCAGTCGGCATTAAAGTGAAAGAAAATTACAGCTCTTTACGGCACTGAATGATATAAAAATCACCAGACGCCGGAGGCTAGCGGCGGCCGCCAGCTGATCGGCGGAATTCGCCCGGAGCGGAGGTGCGCCGGTTGACGGGGAGCGCTCTCCGCCCCCGACTGCGTTATCTTCTGTCAACATGCCCGCCCCCGGCCGGATCCGCAGCCAAACAGAGCGCGCTTGATGATGGCTTGGCCGGATCGTCCGAGCTATTCTGCGGCACCCACGAGCAAACAGGCGCCGTGGGCAGCCGGCGCACGCCCCCAGGTGCGTCTCCGGTGACCGATAAAGGGCGGCGAGCCCACGTGCGACGGCGCCGGACAACTTGGCTCGTTCAACGGCCGGCTGGACGGCGGGCGGACAGGCGGGCGGACAGGCGACGGCCCGCCCCCGGTCCTCGTCTCCTCGCGCCGTCACGGCCGACGGCCGCCCGCGCGATCGGGTGGCGCCACCGGGACGCCGTGAAAACGGCGCGACCAGAGGCCGCCACGCGGCTGCGCGCTCGGCGGCGTGACGGGCCGCCGGAGCCGCTCAGGTGTGCCGCCACGTCGGCCGCCACTCGTCCGCCGGCGGCCGGGGCCGCCGCGGTCGTCCGGTGTTGACACTGTCGGGCCGCCGGTACCGTCCCGATGAACTCAAAGTCGGACGAAAGGCACGCAATGCAGAAATAACTTTTTTAGAACTCGTTTAACGACTATGAGTGATGAAGACCTATTCTATGACGCTCAGTTACGGCAATAATTCAGTGCCGCAACGTACGTAGCGAAAAAGCAAAATGCCACCGATCATACGTCGACCGATATCATGAACCTTCTGGAAAGCAGCATTGCACTTGCAAGACGTCTGTTCGCTGGACATGGCTCACGCTTCAGGAATAAGCATTGTTTGGTCCTGTATGTCGCGAACGGATTACTGCGAGATAAGCGAGGACCAATGTTCTGCATGTTCGCGGTGTGTTGCGAGGGAAGGCCGATATATACTATGACAAGCGTGAACAGCAAGGGTACCGTCCTGTCCGGCAGTGTATTGTGAAAGTGCGAGACTCGAACCGAAGAGACCGAAGCGGACTTTGACGCGTTTCACCGGTCCAGACCACCAATCGGCTCGGCTCGGCTCGGCTCGGCTCGGCTCGGCTCGGGCTCGGGCTCGGGCTCGGGCTCGGGCTCGGGCTCGGGCTCGGGCTCGGGCTCGGGCTCGGGCTCGGGTTCGGGCTCGGGTTCGGGCTCGGGCTCGGGCTCGGGCTCGGGCTCGGGCTCGGCTCGGCTCGGGCTCGACTCGGGTTCGGGTTCGGGCTCGGGCTCGGGCTCGTGCTCGGGCTCGGGCTCGAGCTCGGGCTCGGTTTGGCAGCGCCGCTCCGTACTCACCCTCCTGGATGTTGAGGCTGAGGCCGGCCGGCTTGTACGGGTCGCGCCGGTAGTCGAGTTCCGGCCGCGGCGAGCTGAGGTCCACCGGATGGTTGTCCGGGTAGCCGGGCGGCAGGTGGCCACCGGGCGCCGTCTGCGCCAGGCCCGCGCCCAGCTCGGTCAGGATACCGTCCGCCTGCGGCAGGCGCCGGCGGCGTCACAGCCTGCCCCGCCTGCCAGGCGCCGGACCGCGACAAATCGAGGCGGACAGGACAGATGCGCTGTTCACAGCTTGACTGCGCCCCAGTGCCTGACGAGCGCCGCGCTAGACGGCCAGCAAACGGCCACGGCCACTGGTGAGCCGCGATGAACTCGCCGAGCTGATGTCGAGTCCAGAGCCGTGCGGACGGCGCGCCGGCGCCAGCCACGTGTCAGCTCTGGTCAGGAGCCGGCCATCGAGCCGGGCAGTGCAGCCAGGCGGCCGGGCGACAGTCAGCCAGACGACACACGACAGACGACCGCTCGGCCTCACCTGCGGGTAGTAGCTGTTGTTGTTGTTGTGGGGCGGCGGCGGAGGCTGTTGCTGCTGATGCTGCTGCTGATGCTGCTGTTGCTGCTGCTGCTGCTGTTGCGGCAGTGAGGTCGGGGTGCTGTATGGGCCCTCAGGCGTCTGAGGAGGCCAGACGTCCCCCGGACGCTCCTCGTACTGCGCGTAACTGTACGCACCCTGCAACAAAACAGACGGCACACTGTCAGCGACCGGGATAGCTTTGGTGCGTGGACTCTTCCGCCTCTCAGTGAATCGCGCACCTGCATACAAATAGGAGCGTCCTATGAGAGCAGTCGGCCGACACGTGATGGAGGCAGCAGCCGACGTGCTCTAAAACTCCACTTCTCGCCATACCAGAGCCAACATTTGCCCACGACCTACGCGGCCGTTCAGCGCGGCCCACACCTGACATCCCGACATCGCCCTGCTCGCGACCGGAACCGGACCCAAACCAGCGCCGACACGGGCGGAGCGGCGAGCCACGGACGGCGTGCGCGGCCGACACCTCGGCGGCCCGGCGGCCGCGCGGCCCCGCCGTCCGGCGGCGGGCGCGCCGGGCCGGCCCGGCCCACCGTCGTCGCGTGCCGGGGCCGCCGTGGCGCTGACATGGGCCAATCAGCCGGCAGCCCGGCCGCTTACTTAGCCTCTGTTCGGCGCGGCGCGGCCGCATTCTTACCAGGCGGCCATTGTGGCGAGCCAGAAAAGAGCCGACCATTAAACTCGGCCGAATGGTGGACGGTGTTGACGCCGACTGTGAATACGCGTCGAGCTGTTGGCGCGTATTATTTGTGGACAAAGCCGGCTGCGCTGTCATCGGCTTGAGTGCACAAAGGTCCGGGGGCGGCCCATGTGCCCAAACGGGGCTCGATGCACCCGTGACGCAAATGTGGTGTGACGCCGGCGGCCAGATGTCACAGAGGAAATGTGCCGTCCCACACCGAGTCGTCCCAAGTAACATCCGCAATGTCTACGCTGCACTCGCGATGCGTTCCAGCTGACGAGGTCTGGTAGCCCCATGGAATAAAGAGCATCCCAAGCTGGGAAAACAGCAAGATCGGTAGATAACGGAGGTGCGCAACACTGGACGAGTGTGCGGTGACCGTCACCGCCCCGACCTGAGCTCGTCGTGGACGACGGCCGCCACAGGCCCCGACGTGGGGACGACCACGAAAGGCGCGTCTCTCCCGACTATCCGCAAACTGTCCCTCCGCGCAGCTGCTTCAGCAGACCCGAGCACGCCGCGGGGACCAGCCCGACCCGACCTTCCGGGCCGTCAGCCCGACCCGACCTTCCGGGCCGTCAGCCCGACCCGACCTTCCAGGCCGTCAGCCCCACCCGACCTTCCAGGCCGTCAGCCCCACCCGACCTTCCAGGCCATCAGCCCGACCCGACCCTTCAGGCCGTCACCCCGACCCGACCTTCTGGGCCGTCACCTCGACCCGGCCTTCCAGGCCGTCAGCCCGGCCCGACCTTCCAGGCCGTCACCCCGACCCGACCTTCCAGGCCGTCACCCGACCCGACCTTCCAGGCCGTCACCCCGACCCGACCCTTCAGGCCGTCACCCCGACCCGACCTTCCAGGCCGTCAGCACGACCCGACCTTCCAGTCCGTCAGCCCGACCCCCGCCCGCGTGACGCGTCGCCCAAACCCGGCCCCGCCACGGCGGCGGGCCGGGTCTCCGCTTCGATCGCGACCGAATCAACAATTCATGCGCCCCTCGGGCGGCGGCGCGGCGGCGGCGTCAGGTGGGCCGCTCTCACGGTGATGATAGGCGGCCAATCGATGGCCGCTGCGGCCACCGGCCGACAATGCGCCCGCCCGACCGCCCGCCCGCCCGACGAGGCCCGCACCGGCGCCGGCACGCACGCACCGCGAAATTGCCGACACGCTCTTCCCCCCGTCGGCACCGGCGCCGGCGCGGACGCCAGGGGAAGGGGAGAAGGGCGCGAGAGGGGGACAGCGCGCCGAGACGGGACGATGACCGGACAGAACGGAGACCGAGACTGAGACTGACACTGAGCTGAGCTGAGACTGAGACTGAGGCTGAGACTGAGACGAAGACGGAGACGGAGCCGGCCAGAGAAGAAGGCGCGCACGTCGCCGCCGAGGCGAATATCAGCCATCGTTTGTGGTACTGCTACAAGGATATGTACAAACGTCAAAACATGTACGCTTGGTAACACACTTAAGCACGGCCCGCCGCATGGGACGGGAGTCCATTACTCGACGAGACTGTGTGCCTCGGTACCACGATCACACCACTCTCCGCCAGAGCGGCGCTTTAGACGGGCCGACTCAGCGCTAGCCTGGTCTCAGCTCCGGAGCACGGCTGCCGGGCCGCGGCGGGCCCTGGGGTCGTCCGGCGCCCGTGGGAGCGGCGGGAGTGAGCCACCGTTACGGCACGGGCATCGCCGCCGCCGCCGCCGCCCCGGCCGGCCGCTAACGAGACGCGACACGGCAGCGGCCGACGCCCGACACCGCCTCCGTGACCGGTCAGCGATCAGCCGCGGACCGCGGCCCGGGTCGGGGTCAGCGATGTGGCGCAGGCCGCCAGCGCTGACCCCGACCATTGCCAAGCAAGCCCATGCGGAGGTGACCCGACCCCGTCCCCGATCGCAAGTCGCAGTGTCGGCCAGCCAGACGCAACCAGCTGGGCCGGCCCGTCTCGGCCCGGGCCGAGACGGCCGCCACGCCTCCCACAGTGGGAAAGGCCATGTGTGTGATAAGATACGGCGGGAGGGCGGCGGGGCGCGCGCCTGACGGCCGGCAGCGGGCCGGGCCGCGGCTCACTGTACGTGTCGGCCAGCCGCCAGAGACCGATGGCCGCCAGGTAATTCGCCGCAGGACCGCCGGGGCGGACGGGGGAAAGAGGAGCGGAGCGCTGAGTGGCTCCGCTGACGACGGTCGTCCATCACCGAGACGGATGAGGCGGTGCACTGCCGAGGCCGCGGCCAACTAATTCCCCCCTGGCATCGTCCTCCTACATGCTAGACAAACATGCGATTCCCTCCGTGACCTATGCCTTGTATGCATGTCCCAGTCCGTGTCGCATACCCTTTCGTGGTTACCGCCCTTTTTGCAGCAATGACGTGCGTTACGTGAAAAATGCACAAGCAGGAGTCAACGCCAAACGGATGATGTTGCGAGCACGTGAAACCACGACCGACAGCCTGCTGCGCGGGGGAAGCCGCAACTCCAAGCAGAAGCCTGGCTCACTACGCCCAGCGGCCACACGGGGGCGATGACAAGCTGCCGGGCCGCGGCGCGGTGCGGCATCGCCCCACACGGTCGGCACGGGTGCCATGCGAGGCTGCCGGGCCGCCACGCCGCCCGCCAGTTTGTTTGTAAACAGTCGTGCCGCCGCCTGGGACGATGCGTACGACTATTCACAACTTGGGACAAACCGTACTCCAGTTCCCACTGAGCGACGGGCGCGTGCGCGGCGGCGCGCCTGCGTGCGACTGCCGACGGCGGCAGTGAGTCACGAACTCATCGGGCGCATCGTTCCGTGTGCTCCGCTCGCTCGTCCCAACGCGTCGTACGTACGCAAATGAACGCACGACAGATAACTGACCATTTTAACTACCACCGACTCGCTACGTTTCTGCGAACTCCACAAACACCAGTTCAGCGCATAACGCGTATCATGAGGACACCCTCGATCCCACCAAAACCAAAACCGACCCGTGGCCGCCGGCCCACCTCGCCAATGCCGAACCACGCGGGGTGCCTCGTCGCGCTCGGACCCATCGCTCGCCGCCGGCGGTGGCGGAGGCGGCGGCGACGGTGCGGACGCCTCGTCGTGCTCGACCATCCGTCAGAGCCGGGCGGCGGCGCCGAGAGCGCCCGTGGGAACGGCCGGCTCGGAAGCGCCGTGTGAGAACCGTCACGCGTCACCACATGTCGCCGGCCGCCGCGCGCGCGCGTGACGCTGCGCCGCGCATCCCGCCGCCTTCCCACCCTTGGAGGGTCATGCGAGAGGTGCTGTGAAGAACGGCCACCGCGTTCTCAGCGGCCCACCGCCGACATGGAGGACTTTAAACTGGCAACACAATGCCCGCACGTGGCCGGCCGGTGGCAACGGCCGACGGCCCGCTCTCCCCCGCGCCGCCGTGAACACAATGGGAAAACCGTTGGTCTCCAGGTGGCGCACCTCAGCACGCGCCCTTTAAACCCAAGACGGCCGGCGGCCGCTTTGTCGCCGGCCCGCCAGGACCGACCCCCACCTGCGTCCCTATTGAGGCCCGGCGACGGCCGGCACGAGCCAAGACGGCTGGCGCGCGACACACGCCACCGCCCCACCGACAACCGGCGCGCCCGTGGAAACGGAGAACCACAACATGAATCAGTGATCGGAAGCCGCGCGGGCGACGCCTGCTCATGCGAGGTCGGCGCGAGGAAACGCACGGCCGGCGTCTGGCTGCCGGTGCTGGCGCCGAGTCGCCGCGGACAAAGAGCGGGCCTGGGGTGCGCGGGCCGGGTGCCTCGCGGGTCTCTCGGGGCGGCCAGGGGCGCCGGGCCGCGCCAGGTCCCTTTCAGCGCCCCTCCGGCGTCGCGGGGGACAGTGCGCTGGAATGCCGGCAGGTGCCGGTCGTGATTTGGTGCGGCGATCGGCGCCGCCGCCGCATTCCGCCAGCGGCGGCGGCCATTGAGCACGTCACGACGACCATTGAGGGGCGAACAGGCGTGCAGCGGGCGGCGACGCGTCCCCGCGCCGCGTTCCCAGCCTTGGCGCTCCCCTCGCGCGCGCGCGGCCGACACCTGTCCGTGACCCGGCCCGGCGCCCCTCCGCCAGAGACAACAGAGCCCCGGCGCGGCACGGGCCCGCGCAGCCGCCGCGCCGACGAGGGCCAGTCTCGCCCCGGCCGGCGCCAGCAGACGCGCCGAACCGCGCGCCGGCGGCAGCGTTTGCGTCACGGCGCCGCGAAACCGCCGCGATTGCCGTTCAGCGCCGCGCGGCGATAAATCACAACGGCGGCCGGGCGCCGCGCGGGCGGGCGGCGTCGGCCGGCCGCAGCGTCGGACTTTAAAGCACCTGACGGCGGGCCTGGGAAGCGCTGCCATGTTCCCATGATCCAGAACCGTTCTTCCACCTTTCCCAGGCGCGCACGGCAGCCGCGATTGCGCGCCATCCGCACATAAAGAAATAATAGCAACGTTACATCAAGTGCGCCGGT